AGATTCTGGTGCTGGATATAAAAATGTTGGTGCTGAATTTAAAAACCCTGGTGCTGAATATGAAGATTCTGGTACAGAATATGAAAATGCTGGTGCTGAATATAAAAATGTTGGTGCTGCATATAAAAATGTTGGTGCTGAATATAAAGACCCTGGTGCTGAATATAAAAATACTGGTGCTGCATATAAAAATGTTGGTACTGCATATAAAAATGTTGGTGCTGAATTTAAAGACCCTGGTGCTGAATATGAAGATTCTGGTCTTGAAGGTGCAGCTGCTGCTGCTGACCACGAGGATCCCAGTGCTGGATCAGAATCCTGCTGCTGAATGTGCAGATCCCAGGCAGCGCGCGGTCACCACGGCGTCACCCTGCTGTGACACCTCCTGCCACCCTCATGCTCTGCCTTACCTCAGGGAAGGGCAGGGAGCAGATTTAGGGCTTAAGGAGTCACCCTGGCAGCCATGTGCCGTAATCTGCTGCCTGGAAAAGTCAGGAGGTTCTGAGGCAGTTATGTAAAGGCAGGGCTGGGTGCTGGAAGGGGTGCCCAGGTGGTGCCAGGGCTGCTGGCAGCACAGAAAGGTCCTGCTGGTTATTAGATACAATAGGCAGCCCCAAATCTGCACCTGACACACTGGGGTTAAGTGCTTTCATCATATGGAAAAGATCAGTAATTCTCCCACAGGAGCTCAGGGCAGAAATTTCAATGTCAGCTCCAAAACTCCAAGACAAAAGCTGCCAGGACAAACAGGACCTGAATCCCCTAAAAAGAACTCAGGGCAGAAATTTAAATGTCAGCTCCAAAACTCAACACGTGCAAGGATTACTCCAAGACAAAAGCTGCCAGGACAAACAGGACCTGAATCCCCTAAAAAGAATACCCTAACCCTAAAACCCTAACCTGAACATAACCCAACACTCACCTGTAAGCAGAAACAAAGCACAAAACATAACTCTAAAGTTAAAAAAAAACCCTAATCAAAAAACCTTAAGTCTTACCCAAAATCTAACCCTAAAGATAATGATAATGAAAATCCTAACAAAACCCCACACAAGAATCCTATTCCAAACTCAAGGCAATAAAAATAAAGTTAAAACAAAAGCCCAAATCAAAAGCAAACCCAAATCCTAACCATAACCCTGACCAAACAATCAATCCTAACCCTAATCATAACCTTAACCATAACCCTAACCCAACACTAACCTATAACCAAATCCAAAATATAACTATAAAGCTAAAAAAAACTAATAATAAAAAAAACCCACTAAGTCTTCCCCAAAATCTCCCCCTAAAGACAATGCCAACAATAATCATAACAAAATCTCTAAACCTGAATAATAAGCCAAACCCAAATAACACTAAAGCAAAAACAAAAGCCCAAACCAAGAGCAAACCAAAATCCTAACCATAACCCTGACCAAACACTGAACCCTAACTATAACCCTAACCCCAACCCCTAGCTCATACCCTAACCCAACACTAACCTATAAGCAAAAACCAAATCCAAAACATAACTAAAAAGCTAAAAAAAAACCCTAATAAAAAAACCAAAACACTAAGTCCTCCCCAAAATCTACCCCTAAAGACAATGCTAACAATAACCCTAAGAAAATCCCTAAACCTGAATAATAAGCCAAACCCAAATAACACTAAAGCAAAAACAAAAGCCCAAATCAAGAGCAAACCCAAATCCTAACCACAACCCTGACCAAACACTGAAGCCTAACCCTAATCATAATAATAACAGCCCTAAACCCTAGCCCTTACCCTAACCTTAACCCAACACTAACCTATAAGCAAACACCAAATCCAAAACATAACTATAAAGCTAAAAAAAAACCCTAATCCAAAAAAACCCCAAACTGTAAACCTAAAGACATTGCTAACAATAATCCTAAGAAAATCCCTAAACCTGAATGGTAAGGCAAACCCAAATAACACTATAGCAGAAACAAAAGCCCAAATCAAAAGCAAACCCAAATCCTAACCACAACCCTGACCAAACACTGAAGCCTAACCCTAATCATAATAATAACAACCCTAAACCCTAGCCCTTACCCTAACCCTAACCCAGCACTAACCTATAAGCAAACACCAAATCCAAAACATAACTCTAAAGCTAAAAAATAAACCCTAATCCAAAAAAAAAACCAAACCCTTAAGTCTTACCCAAAATGTAAACTTAAAGACAATGCTAACAATAATCCTAAGAAAATCCCTAAACCTGAATGGTAAGGCAAACCCAAATAACACTACAGCAGAAACAAAAGCCCAAATCAAAAGCAAACCCAAATCATAACCATAAACCTGAACTCAAACCATAACCCTAACCAAACACTGAACCTTAACCCTAATCCTCACACCAACCCTAACCCTAATCATAACCCCGACCCTAAACCTGACCCTGACCACCTTGAGGCCAAGCCCAGCCAGACCTGCTAGTCCTGGCAGCTTTCTGGGAGCAATCCTTGGACATTCACAATTTTAAGAGCCAGGATCCCACATTTGGCAGCAAAGGATTCCTCCTTTCCATAGGAAGAAAAGCCCAAAAAAGAAAAAGTTTCCACAAAAGAAAAGCCTGGTGTCTTGGGGGCACAGCAGAGGCACCCTGGGGGGCCAAGGGCATTTAGACCCAGCCTAAGATAAGAGTGTGTTCTGTTATCTGTTAGAGGTGAGGCATTATCTGCTCCTCATTGGGCAGTTTTCCTTATCTCTGCCACAACCAATCCTCCCTCCAGGAGATCTCTGCTGTTAATGGGCCATTAATTATGGTTTTTTTAAGTTTTCCTAGGAAAGAAATAAGAATTAGGAATTTATAAGGAATACTATTTCCTTCTATACCAAAGAATAATACTATTTCTTTCCTAGTAAAGAAATTGTCTTCTTAGCAAAGAATAACTTTCCTCACCCCCCTCCCCCTCCTGTGATTTTCTTGGCTTTTCCGACCCCCCCTTGTCTCATCTCACTGACCCCTCCTTGTCCTTCCTTTGACTCCATTGCCTTTCCCACCCATGCACCACCCTGACTTGCCCACTTTTCCCTGGCTTTGCCTTGTCCTGCCTGCTCCTCCTCTGATCCTCCTTGCCTTGTCTTTCCCTACCCAACATTGCCTTTCCCTGCTGTCCCAAACCATCTCTGCCTTTCCCTGCCATGCCTGCTCCAACTTGAAGGCAGCAACAGTTTGTCAGATTAAGCTCTTTTCTGACTCAGAGATGGGGTAACTGAGAAAGTTTTTAAAACTTTTATTCCATTTTCAGTCTCATGTGAAGAGTGAAACAACACAAATGTTACGATTCACGCCATCACAATCAGAAACTAACAATTTCCTAATTACATTAGAAGCGTTTCTTGGCTTATTAACTTTTGTTACACCATATTCCAAATGCCTTCCAGCCAATCATCCAAACAGCTCTCTCAGCTGACACTTCCTTTGGGGAGCTGTGGTTTTCCCCGATGTTTTCATGTTTGTAGCCAGACTCAGCCAGAATGAAAACCCTCACCAGCACCAAGGGGCTCCTGTGTCCCCTGGAGCAAGCACAAATCAGAGTTTGAGCTGGGAAAGGGAAGATCAGCGCAGTCTTTGTCCGGAGCCGGCGGATTTGGGAGCAGGGCCGTTTTCACCTTGGCTGCTCGCGTTGGATGATGCAGAGCGTTCGCTTCCCCTGCAAAGGCACAGCGGCATCGTGTGGCTGCTCGGCCGGGCTGCGAGTTTATGGGCTGCGAAAGGGAAGGGAATTCCAGCACAGCCTCTTTGTCCTTTCCTTTCCTTTCCTTTCCTTTCCTTTCCTTTCCTTTCCTTTCCTTTCCTTTCCTTTCCTTTCCTTTCCTTTCCTTTCCTTTCCTTTCCTTTCCTTTCCTTTCCTTTCCTTTCCTTTCCTTTCCTTTCCTTTCCTTTCCTTTCCTTTCCTTTCCTTTCCTTTTTCCTTTCCTTTCTTTTTCCTTTCCTCGGAGCTGTGCCTGCTGCACTTTCTGAGCTGCAGGGACAAAGGGACACCGGTGCTCCCTTTTTGTCCTGGGACCTTTGGGATGGGAGCAATGCTGGACACAGCATCAGGGCGGGATGTTGATGACTCCTCTCCGTGTGTGGAGACACGAGGCTTGACTCTATTTCAGAAGGCTGATTTATTATGTTAAATATTATATTAAAATACTACATTAAAGCTATACTAAAAGAACAGAGAGATCAGAAGGCTACAACGAGAAAGAACAGAATAACAAAATTCTGTGACTGCTCACAGCCTTGGCACAGGTGGCTGTGAATGCTCATCAATGGAAAACAATCCACATGGACCAATCACGGATGCACCTGTTGCATTCCACAGCAGCAGATAGTAATTGTTTACATTTCTCTCCTGAGGCTCCTCAGCTTCTCAGGAGGGGAAAAATCCCAGCAAAGGATTTTTCACAATATCATGGCTACAGCAGGACACAGGGGAGGGCACACACAGGGTGGGACACAGCGTGGGACAGAGGGTAGGACACAGGACACACACAGGGCGGGACACGCGCAGGTCACACACAGGACACAGGACACGGGACACACACAGGGCACAAACAGGGCAGGACAAGCAGATCACACACAGGACACGGGACACAGGGCAGGACACACACAGGGCAGGACAGAGGACACACACAGGACGCACAGGGTAGTACACAGGACACAGGACACACACAGGACACAGGACACACACAGGGTAGCACACAGGACACACAAAGGACACAGGACAAGGCAGGACACAGCCTTCGGGGTGCTGGCGCTGCCCGCAGCCCCGCTCTGGACACGGCGGTCCCCGGGCAGTCCCGGCACCATTCCCGGTGCGTGCCCGCCAGCCCCGTGGCCTCCGCGTTGCTCTTGCCCTTCTCCTTTCCCAGCACCGGTTCCTCATCTCCTCTGCGCTTCTGCCCTTCCAAAATCCACGCTCTCCCTCCCTCCCGAGCCGGGCAGGGCTGGCGAGGGCCGGGCTCGGGGCTGGAAGGGGCTCGGAGGGAGCGCTCGGGGGATGCCGCGGTTCCCTCGCTGCCGGGCCCGGGTGCCGCGGCTGTGCCGAGCCCGACAAGGTGCCAAGGAGCCCGTTTGGCGGCCGGGCGAGTAAATGCCCGTTCCCGGGAACCGCCCGCGAGCCCCCCGCCCCAAACGGCGGCGTCCCCCGCGCGCCGGGGGTTCCGCAGCGCTCCCGCCGCCGCCGCCGGGCCAGCGGCCGCTGCTGCCCTCCGGCCGCCGCCTCTCCCTCCCCGTCTCTCTCCTCTGGCCCAAAAGCCACGCCGGCAGCCCGGCTTTGCAGCCCGGCACCGGAACCAGAGCAGCATCCCCGGCCCGGCGCTCCCGCAGGCTGAGGCTGCCCCAGCCCGGAGGGACGCTGGGCTTGGCGTCGCTCCCTGACACGGGTTGGTTTTGGGGACCGGGGGAAGGGAGAGATGGCAAACAAATGGCATCAAATGGGAGGAAGTTGGTGGCAGGGACGGGATAGGATGGGACTATAGGGGATGGATGAGTATTTTAGGGTCTTTAGAGTCTTGTACTTGTACACCCTCCTTGTACCCGTGGCAGATGTGAAAAACAACCTTGCTTGGTGGGATGCAGGACTGGGTTGTGTTATTTAAGGGAGGGGAGGGGATGCTGATTTCTTTCCTGCCAAAACCTCTCTGGGCAGTGCCAGCCCAGCGGGTATGGGGAGCTTAGAGGGAATTTCCCCGAGGCTCAGGGCTGTAAAACCCCCCCGGGGCAGCACTGCAGCTCCGTGCCCTGCACAGGGAGTGGTGTCACCCAGAAACTGGGAACATCCAGACTCCAGGGGCTCCAGGAACACCCTGTTCAGGTGCCAGCCTCGCAGACCCTCAACCCTCTGCCCCTTCCCGTTCAGGTGAACACTCCCAGCTCCGGGCCATGGTGTGCTCCAGCCCCATGCTCAGAGCTCAGGGACAGCCGAGCTCCAGCCAGGAGGAGCAGCGCGGTGCTCAGCCCGACCTGCTGTGGCTGGCCGACCTCACAGGCGCCCACATCGGCCTGGCCCCCATCTCCCAGGACCCCGAGGACCGCTGCAGCATCTGGGAGAACCTGGTGAGCCTGGTGGATTTCCAGTGCCCGGGTTTTCCCCTGACCTCCGAGGAGCTCTGCCACTACATCGACATCCCCCGCTCGCCGGTGGCCGTGACCCTGCCCGGGGCTGTGACCCCGCCCGGGCCCCCCGTGCCCCCGGGGGACATCGACTACAGGACCAACGCGCACGTGAAGCCGCCCTACTCCTACGCCACCCTGATCTGCATGGCCATGGAAGCCAGCCAGCAGCCCAAGCTCACCCTGGCAGCCATCTGCAAGTGGATCAGCGACAACTTCTGCTACTTCCGCCGTGCCCACCCCAGCTGGCAGGTACGAGGAGGTGTCTTGGTTTGGGAAGTCAGGTGTGTCTGCTCAGGAAGGCAGGAGCTTCCCCTGAAATGGAGAATGTAAACACCCCCCCCCCTCCAAATTACTATGAATTTTAAATTAAGGGTTCTCAGGAAAAAAAAAAAGTATGGGAGCAGGAAGAAACAGGTCTTTAATAGGGAAGAAAATAAAAGGATTAAATAAACAATGCAGTAAACTAAAAACAACGCTGACAGAGTCACAATATGACCTGACCCCCTGTTGGTCAGGGTGTTGGGACCAATCCAGTTGGAATTGTGGCTCAGCCCTCCTGGAGTGTCAGTGTGGTTCTGCTGGAGCAGGGATCCTGTAGCAGTCCAGTTGGAATTGTTTAAGGGTTCTCAGGAAAAAAAAAAAGTATGGGAGCAGGAAGAAACAGGTCTTTAATAGGGAAGAAAATAAAAGGATTAAATAAACAATGCAGTAAACTAAAAACAACGCTGACAGAGTCACAATATGACCTGACCCCCTGTTGGTCAGGGTGTTGGGACCAATCCAGTTGGAATTGTGGCTCAGCCCTCCTGGAGTGTCAGTGTGGTTCTGCTGGAGCAGGGATCCTGTAGAAGGGTGCAGTCTGCCTCTGAAGATCCAGTGGAAGAGGCAGCTGCTCCTCTGGGAATGCAGTGGAGAAGCCGTGCTGGTGATCCAGAATCTCCAGATTATATCCAGGAAGGAATGCTTGGCTCCTCCCTCTGGGCTCACATCTCCCAATGGATGCTGGAGTTCCTATCAGCCATGCAGGGACATTCCATAAACTGTTATCAGCAGATGTTCCCCCAGGGGAGGAGCGGCTGTGGAAGAGATAAGGAAATCTGCCCACTGACCAGAAGACATACAGATGGCAAATAGAATACATCTTGCCCTGCAATCTGGGGCAGGAGGTTTGGAGCCCCCCAGGGCCCTACACAGCCCCCAGCCTGCAGGGCAGGGTCCTGGATGCTGCTTGTGAAAAATGTGTATTTTATGATTGGCCTTTTGCAAATATTAAAATGAAAATTGTATGTGTTATGTTAGAAAGTTACGCTGCATTAATTTTCTTAAGTAGTGTGTTAGATATAGTTTTAGGTTATAAGATAATGTTAAAATAGAAACTATGCTATGTAAGAGACTTTTTTGGGAGGACTCACACTGAGACAGCAGCCACAGGACACCTAAATCTTTCAGAGAAAAAGAATTTATTGCTCTCTTATCAAGTTCTTCCCACCTTGCTCAGCCCTCAAGGCACCTTCAGGATTGAGAGGAAAAAGTTGACACTGACCAGAGAGAATCCTTTGTTTGAATGGAATTCATGCATCATGCATGAGATGTATGAATATGCAACAGGCTATTGCTTTTAAGGGTTAATCCTCTGTTAACGTGTGTCCTTTTTTGGGCTTATTTTGCCCAGAAAATGTGAATAGTTTTGACTTAATTACCAATCATGGTCAGGCTGTGTCCGACTCTGGAGAGAGAGTCATGAGATTCATTATTATCTTGTTAAGCCTTCTGTGTGTATCCTTGCTCTATTATTTAGTATAGTTTATTATAATATAATATAATATAATATAATATAATATAATATAATACCATCCATAACTCTTTGTTTTTATTGCCTCATATTGTCCTAATCCAAATCATCCAAATTTTTATTACTCTAATTACCTTGCTATTTCTACAACCATTTCATTCCTGTTAAACTTTGAAAAAATTTAAAACCAAGTGAGTGACGTTTTTGTTCCTTTTTTTTGTGTGTGCCCAGAGCTCCATCCGGCACAACCTGTGCATCAACAAGCGCTTCGTCAAGGTGCCTCGCGAGAAGGGGGAGCCGGGCAGAGGAGCCTTCTGGAAGCTTCACCCCCAGTACGCCGAGTGGCTCAAGAGCAGCACCCTCAAAGGGCACAGGTGATTAGTGGGTGTCGGGGTTCCTGTTATTTGTCTCTGCCCCAACACGGGAAAAGTGGTTCTGGGTGGCCGCGATTCCAAGGACGAGCCTGGACTCCCAGGTTTTTCGGTCTTCAGTCTTGTTTGTTAATTCTTATCTACAATATTTTCTCTCTGCCCAGCCGAGGTCTGTTCAGCAGGACAGCTGAGTGCTCTCTTTCCCCTCTCAGGCTGGTGCTATCTTTTATACTAAAAACTACCTACACCATGTTTACAGTTATTTTCCAATACCTATCACCTGTGTTAGACGGTGACTTTCTACCCTAAACCAATCTGTGAGTGCCAACATCATCCTGAACGTGGATGCCAGGGAGAAGAAAGAAGGACAGGGCACGCCCAAATCCCTCCATCTCAGACCCCCTGACCCCCATGTACAGAATCCAAACCCCTCTGTACAAGGTCCAAAACCCCACTGTACAGTGCTCCAAAATTTTTCCCTTCACCCTGTGATTGCCACTGCTATGCCACTTAAACTTTTCTGACCTGTAATTCTTCATAGAAGAATTGGTAATTTGCTCCATGGGTTGAGATCAAATTTCCAGGTGTCTTTGGCTTCCTACCAGGGTCTCTGAGCCCTTGCCAGGGCTTTGAGACATCCAGGGCATCCAGAGAGATGTCCTGGGTTCCAACAAGTGGGAAAAAACCCAACTTCACTGATATCAGGGTCTTTGAGATAGGTTTTATAGGATTTTGGGGATTTGTATCACGTTCGAGATAGCTTAGCTGCTTCAGGTGGTGTAAAATCAGCAGGGTGGCTTTTGTGGCGGTGTTGGAAACAGAAAAGTTTTAATAAAAAGTTTTAATAAAAAGTAAAATAACAAAGCTCTTTCCAGAGAAAAACTGAGTTAGGGCAAGAGGTTCTTGCTCCTGGTAAAACACCCCACAAAAGCAATTAGTTCCTTTGTTCTCTTCTTTTTCTAGTGAATTGCTTAGGTGGTACTTTTTGGCTCCTGTCCAATCCTTAAGTGTGAGGTGAAGTCCCCAAGGTCCTATGAGGTGTCTTTTTACCTAACTGAGGAGAGAAACTTCTGGACTTTTTTCCTTTTTTAGGAGACAAAGGATAATTTTGTCACTCCATCAACAGGGGCACATCCCTACACCCCACAACTTGTAAAAGTTGTAAGGCTGGTGTGTTTATTCCAGCACTGGATGCACGTAGGGATCACTGTCCCCCCTAAAGGACACCCTAAAGTGCCCTCCTGAGAATTCCCAATCCTTTTTTATCCCCCTTACTTGCACATATTCACAATAGGCTCGTGCATATTCATTTTGTGGTTTTGCATTCCAACTTGCAGCTCGTCCTTGTACAGAGAAAACTCTCTGGTCATCCTGTTTCAAAGCTCAAGGGGTCCTTTTTATCTCTTCAGCTTGGGAATTGCATTCATTTTTCCTCACCTGAGGCAGTTTTTGTGATAACAGACTAAACAAACTCACTTATTCTAGCAAGCTGCAGACTTAATAATCCAAAGCGGCGCGTTTCGCCTAAACCCAAAATGGATTTCTGCTCTGTTAAATTTCAGCTCTGCGGTATTTTTGGGGTTCCCAGACGAGGGAAGGAAGGAATGAATCTGGCTCCATGTTCTTAGAAGGCTAATTTATTATTTCATGATATTATATTATATAAAATAATGCTATAGTAAAGTATACTGAAGAATAGACAAAGGATACACAGAGAAGGCTCAACAAGATAAAAATGAACCTCGTGACTCTGTCCAGAGTCCGAGACAGCCTGACCATGGTTGGTCATTGAGCCAAAACAATTCACATGTTGGATAAAAAACTGGATTTGCAGAAAAGGAAACAAACTCCACAACTTTTGTGGAAGTTGTAAAGCTGGGGTGTTTATTACAGCGCTGGACACGTGTGGGGGTGGCTCCCCCAAAATGACACGTGTGCCTCTGGGAACTCCAGATCCTTTTTTATCTCCCTCTCAAACACATATGCATGCAATATGTATTCATTATTTGTACAATATATGTACAACATTATTTGTAGAATATATGTATTTCACAATAGGTTCATACATATTCATTCCACTGATCTTGTGTGACATTTGCTGTTGATTCTTCTTTATCAGAAAGAATTCCTGGGCCATATTGCCCTGCTCTCTGTGTCTGCCCCCCTTATCTCTTCTCCTTCAGCTGAAGCATTTTCTCTGAGCACAGGTTTTTGTGAGAACAGGAGTCAGACTAAACAGCAGTGTTTGCAGGCTACAGACTTAACACAAAGATGTACATTTCACCTAAATCAAAACAGATTTCTACTCTGGAAAATTTCCATCCTGCCTCACAATCTCCAACCACATTCCCAAGCAGCAAAACGCAGCAGAAGCAAATGAGACAATTCTTGCTTTCCTTTTCCTCTGAGGCTTCCCAGCTTCTCTGGGCAAAGAGGATTGTTCAGAAAACACCACGGTGACCCAGCTCTGTTCCACAGGCCCCTTCCAGAGCCCGGGAGTGCCCAGCAGGGAGCACAGCGCGTCCCCAGCCCCGCTGCCGCCGGCGCCGACCTCGAGGTGGGCGCGGAGCTGCAGCGGCTGCTGTGGGAGTTTGAGGAGTTCGAGAGCAGCCAGAGGTGGAGCCCTGAGGAGAACCCAGCGGGCCAGCAGAGCGAGCCCGAGGCCTCTTGGCTGCCAGGCTGTGCCCCGGCGAGCCAGGAGGAGCCGGGCGAGCTGACGGAGCTGAAGGGCAGCACGGAGTGGGAAGCGCTGCTCGACGCCCCCGCCGAGCTGGGGGATTTCTCCGCTCTGGGGCAGCTCCCACCTTCCAGCCAGCCTGGAACCTTCCCCCTGCACCCCAGCAGGGCAGCGGGGCAGCAGCTGGGCTGGCCTCAAATGCTGCCCGAGCCCAGCCCTACCAAATCGGGCTCGGATGAAACCCTGATGGCCACGGCTTTCCTGGAGGCTGCGTGGCACGAGGAGGTGAGAGGGAACCTTTGCAGCCCCGCCGAGCAGGGGGCTGCAAACTTCCAGGCCTCTTTGCCCGGCAGGGAGGTCATGGATTGGGACTCTCTGGCCCCTTTAAGGCTCTATTAGAGATGGGAGATTAGATTAGATTACATTAGATTACACTTGATTTGATTTGATTCCAAGGATTTAGGAGGGGTTTTAGGGTGGGTGTAGCTGGTTTGATGGATGAGGGGTTTTTTTTGCTGTTCTTTTTGCTTTCTGTTCTGTTTTTTGCTTGGGGAACGTGCTGAAGATACTTGGCTACTTTAAATTTTTTTTTTTTTTTCATTTTTTTGGCGGTTTTGTAGCGATGAAGAAGATACTTGGCTACTTTAAATTGGTTTTTTTTCATTTTCTTGGCGGTTTTGTAGAGATAGAATAAAGGAAGCAAAGCAGAGAACTCCTGGTTTACCTTCTGCTTTCCCTCCAGCCCCTGTGGCTCTGCCCAGCCCATCCCTGCCCACCCAGCACAGGGCAGCTCCCAGCTCCTTCCATGCTGGCACAGCGATTCCTGGGGAAACTGAGGCACGAGCCAGTGACAGGGTGCCCCGGATCCAACGGGAGCCCAGCTGAGCTGGTGTGCCCAGGGGCTGCTGCCAGCCTTGCCCGTCCCCTTCCCTGCCCTGCAGGCAGCTCCCAGGTCTGGCACGGCCCCAGGGTGGGCACTGTCCCTGTGCCACTCTCCAGAGCTGGCACTGCCCTTGTGCCACTCCCAAGGCTGGCACTGTCCCTGTGCCACTCTCCAGAGCTGGCACTGTCTTTTCCATGGTTCTGCAGCACCCCGGGGGCATTTCTGCATTTTTGTATAATTTTTATTGGATTTAATCACCAGATCCTGGTGCCTGAGCCCCCCCTGCCCCCCAAAATCCAGATGTCCCCTCAAATTCCTCCAAGCTCCCACCGGATTTTTTATTTTTATTTTCCCAAATGTTGTGAATATAAAGCTTCTCTTCAATGTTACAATTTTTGTTTTTCCAACCATGCCCACAAATAATGGGCACATTAACAATGGGCTCGTTTTTCCTGAAAAATGCTGTATTTAAAGGGAATATTCAGTGGAAAAAGAAAATAAATGGTTCAAGTAGATTTAAATCAGAATTGTGGGTGGCTGGAAAAGGGTGAATTCCTCAAGGGGGGGCTCTGAAATTCCCAAAATTCTCTATTATAAAGGGAATATTTCAGTGGAAAAAGAAAATAAATCGTTAAACAAGATTTAAATCAGAATTGTGGCTGAAAAGGGGTGAATTCCTCAAGGGGGGGCCTCTGAAATTCACAAAAATGCTGTATTTAAGGGGAATATTTCAGTGGAAAAAGAAAATTAATTGTTAAAATAGATGGGGATTGTGGCTGAAATTGGGTGAATTCCTCAAGGGGGGGGCTCTGAAATTCCCAAAATTCTCTATTATAAAGGGAATATTTCAGTGGAAAAAGGAAATAAATGGTTCAAGTAGATTTAAATCAGAATTGTGGCTGATAAGGGGTGAATTCCTCAAGGGGGGGCTCTGAAATTCCCAAAATCCAGCAGGGAGTGGTGAGGAAGGGGGTGGCTCCCACCCCTTTATACCCCAAAAACGCTTTAAAAGGGAAATTTTCCAGGTGTCCCCACGGCCATGTCCCCCCAGGGGGACACCAGAGCCACCCCCAAACCAGTGGAGCCACCAGTTCCTCCGGTCTGGGCTGAATTCCCTTTGCCAGCAGGGATTCCTCGGCCGGGGGGGGGCAGGGGGGTTTAACCCCAAAGTTCCTGGAGTGGGAAACGAAGGGGGAAAGGTCAAAGGGGCTCCAAGGAGGCTGAATTTGGGAGGGGGGGGGTGCAGTCCTGGGACCCCCCCCCTCAGCCCTTCCCAACCCCTCCTGACTCTCCCATGGACTCCAGACTCCCCTCCTGCTCCAGAATCCCAAAAGGAAATCCCACAGGAACCTGGGAGGCTCGGGGGGACCCCAAGGGGCTCCTCAAGCCCTGGGCGAGGGCTGGGAGGTTTAAGGCTGTTCAGAGGAGAAAAGAAACAGGAAAACGCTCCAGCAGGGAGTCAGGGCCACCAGATCCCACGGGAAAGCCCAGCAGATCCCACAGGAACATCAGCAGATCCCACGGGAACATCAGCAGATCCCCCGGGAACATCCAGCAGATCCCATGGGAACATCCAGCAGATCCCATGGGAACATCCAAAAGATCCCATGGAAACACCCAGAAGATCCCACGGGAACATTATGAAGATCCCATAGGAACATCTTGAAGATCCCACAGGAACATCCTGAAGATCCCATAGGAACATCCTGAAGATCCCATGGGAAGCATCCACCAAATCCCAGGGGAAGCATCCAGCAGATCCCAAGGGAATATCCAACAGATCCCACAGGAACCTCCAGCAGATCTCACAGGAACCTCCAGGAGATCCCACAGGAACATTGAGCAGATCCCACGGGAACACTGAGCAGATCCCATGGGAACATCCTGAAGATCCCACAGAACCTCCATCAGATCCCACAGGAACATTGAGCAGATCCCACAGGAACCTCCAGCAGATCTCACAGGAACCTCCAGGAGATCCCACAGGAACATCCACCAGATCCTACAGGAACATTGAGCAGATCCCACAAGAACATCCTGAAGATCCCACAGGAACATCGAGCAGATCCCATGAGTACATCCAGCAGATCCCACAGACCCTCCAGCAGATCCCACAGGAACACTGAGCAGATCCCTCAGAAGCTCCAGGAGATCCCACAGGAACATTGAGCAGATCCCACAGAGGCTCCAGCAGATCCCACAGGAACATTGAGCAGATCCCACAGAGGCTCCAGCAGATCCCACAGGAGCACCCCCAGCTGAGGGAGCCGCTCGCTCTCCCCACAATTAACGAGACGCGGTTAATTACTGGAACAAGGAAGCCAGCAGCTCTGGTGGCCGTGCCACGGAGGCCGCGAGGGCACGGCCCGGCCGGCTCGGGACGTGGCAGCAGCAGCTGGCAGGGGACACGGCTGGCACCCGCTGTCACTCGGGGGGCTGGCTGTGGTTGAGGGCCAGCAGCACCATGCTGTGGGCCAGCAGAGAGGACTCCGAGGCTGTGGGAGAACAGGGGCACCGTGAGACTGGCACTGGGGGCACTGGGAGAGACTGGCACGGGCACTGGGGGCACTGGGAGAGACTGGCACGGGCACTGGGGGCATGGTGACAGACTGGCACGGGCACTAGGAGAGCTGGGACTGGCACTGGGGGCACTGGGAGAGCACTGGCTGGGGTGGGAGTGGCACTGGGGGACACTGGGGGTGCTGGGATGGGCCCTGGGTAGGTTGGGAGCCCTGTGGGGGGCACAGGGGGTGGCTCTGGGTGGACTGGGCAGCACCGAGATAGGAACCTGGCAGACTGGGAGCACTGGGATGGGCACAGGAGGGGCACTGGGATGGGCACAGGATGGGCACAGGGGAGCACTGGGATGGGCACAGGAGGGGCACCAGAGGTGCACTGGGATGGGACTGGGGGGAGCACTGGGGTGGGCACATGGGGAGCACTGGGATGGGCACAGGAGGGGCACTGGGATGGGCACAGGGGGAGCACTGGGATGGGCACAGGAGGGCACAGGAGGGGCACTGGGATGGGCACAGCGCCCCTGGTCCCCCATTTCCACCCCACCCCTTTTTCCCTTCCTCAGGGCTGCAATCTGCCCCCAGAGCTCTGCAGGACAGGGACACCTGGGCACAGGTGAGGGGGGTGTGCCTAGATGGGGACAAAGCCACCCCAGAAGTGACACCCTGTGCCCAGGGAAGCCTTTTGGGGGTGCTCCCCCACCAGAGGTACCTTGGAGCTCACAGGAGAGCCTGAGCCACTGCTCCAGCCACGCCTGGCACTCGGCCTGGCCCAGGTGAGTGGAGTTCAGCCCACGCAGGTAACAGGCCTGGGGACACACAGACACAGTCAGGGACGGACACACAGACCCCCAGCACCCCACCAGGACCCCCTCAAGGAGGGCAAGATGTGGAAACCCAGAGGAATATTTCTCTGTCTGCTCTGGGGAGCTCTGACTCTGACCCTCATCCATGGAGAAAGTTTCCCAGACTTCAAGCTAGACTGGAACCCACCAAAGATTACAGAGTGGTGGAGGTGTATCCCTGGGTGAGAAATTTAGGGTTTAAAATTTCCAGTGTGTTGTGGATGGAAGCAAAACAGAAGGCACAGGGCGTTGTCCTTTGCACCTCTCTTAGCTTGCAAGCCACGACAGCAAAGTGTCCTTCCCCATGTTGTTTCAGTGTAGGTTGATGTGGGTTGGAAACGCAATCGATGCCCAAGGTCTCTGCCACCCTCCTTTAAAGGATGGACAGAAGCACGGGGACCAAATTTGCTACAGCAAGTTCAGATGTGAAATTTTAGAAACTCGAGCCACAGTGGTGGCTCAGCCCTCCTGCAGGGCCAGCTGTGCTTCTGCTGGAGCAGGGATCCTGCACAAGGGGGGAGTTTTCCTCTGGAGCTCCAGGGCTGCTGGAGATGGGCCTGCTCTCCCTCTGGGAATGCAGAGCAGGAGAAAGCTGCTCCTCTGGGAATGCCGTGGGCAAAGGCTGCTGGGCTGTTCCAGGCTCAGATTGTATCCAGGTAGGAATGCTTGAAATGTCAGATTGTGTCCAGGCAGGAATGTTTGAAATCTCAGATTCTATCCAGGTAGGAATGTTTGAAATCTCAGATTGTGTCCAGTCAGGAATGTTTGAAATGTCAGATTGTGTCCAGGCAGGAATGTTTGAAATCTCAGATTGTATCCAGGCAGGAATGCTTGGCTCCTCACCTGGGTGGAGCATCTCCCAGTGGGATGATGGAATTTTACCAGCCATGCAGGGTCACTCACTGGCCCATGAACAGAAGATAATTCATAATTAATGACCCATGAACAGGAGATATCTCCTGGAGGGAGGATTGGTTGTGGCAGAGATAAGGAAAACTGCCCAATGAACAGAAGATAAATGCCCCACCTCCAACAGATAACAGAACACACTCTTATCTTGCAAGCCAGGACAGCAATGTGTCCTTCCCCACGTTGTTTCAGTGTAGGCTGATGTGGGTTGGAAATGCAATCCATGCCCAATGTCTCTGCCACCCTCCTTTAAAGGATGGACAGAAGCACAGGGAGCTGTTTTGCTACAGCAAGCTCAGACGTGAAATTTTAGCAACATGAGTGTCACCACTGAGTCAGGAAGGGATGAATGAGTGACACACTCCATGCATTTTCAGAAGGCATAAAAGCTTTATTAAATAATCTCCCTATATTTAAAACCAACATTGTTCACCCAGAACCTCTACTTGTTGCTCCTGGTATTAATTATTAATTACCTTCCATTCCTGGCCAGTGAGTGTCCCTGCCTGGCTGATAAAATTCCATCATCCATGTATTTTTTCCTTCCCTAATAAAGAACTGTTATTCCTGCTCCCTTATCTTTGCCTGAGAGTCCCTTAATTTCAAATTTACAACAATTCAGAGGGAGGGGGTTTACATTTTCCATTTCAGGGGAGGCTCCTGCCTTCCTCAGCACACACCTGGCTTTCCAAACCGAGACAACTGCCATGAAGTTGTGACTTTCTAATATCACTCCGTTTTTGCTGGTTTTTGGTTACTTAACCACACTGCAGTGAAACTTTGCAGAAAGTGTGGAACATTCTTTTTAAATCTGCTGCTTGCAACAAATTTTGCAAAAAACCCAAACAAACCACCCCATGCCGTTGTATTGTTAGATGGAAGGTTCTGGAAGTTGATTGATCATCTGAAACCCATTCAGATAATCCCATTACACCCTGAATGCCCACTCAGGCACTTCCACCTGCCCACCTGGCTCCAACCCAGCCTGGAACACTTCCAGGGACGGGGAAATCCCTCCCAGTGCCTTCCCACCTCCACAGGGAGGAATTCCTTCCCCACATCCTCCTCTGGATTCGTTCCCAGCAGCTCCAGATTCTCCTGATTCTGGGGAACCCCCTGTTGGAGGCAGCACTGCAGGTGGGGTCTCACCTGAGCCCCCCTCACCTGCTGCCACCGTGCCCAGGACCCCAAATACCCCCAGGGATGGGGATACCCCCAGCCCAAGGCACCTCTGCAGCTTTCCCTCTGCCCCTGGGCTGGTTTTGGGGCACACCTGGACTGAGCTGAACTCACCACATGATCCACCTGGAGCCTGTTGAGCACCAGCAGGGACCCCGAGAACAAACTCCTCACAGCCAGGAGCTGGGCCAGGCCGGGCTGGGCACCTCCCTGCACCTGAAAGAGCCCCAGAGAGCACAGGTGACACCTCAGACAGGCGGATGCCTCCGGTTTGAGATTTTCTCTTTTTCAGGTTCTGTGCTGCTTTACTCTGTGGGTTTGGGTTTCACATTATGGGATGGTGAGCTCCCTGCACAGAGCAGGGAGACAAAACAATTCCTGCTCCAGCTGGGGACCAAGGACAAATGATCCAAATCTCAGCCCCAAGAGCACAAACAGCATGGGATGAAGAGAGAAAAACAAGCAGGATGGGATCTCATAACCTAAAGGTGTAATTGGACAATTAACTCCAATATGCAAATGGAGCAGAATTTATAAAAGTGAGAGACCCCGTGACTGGGCGTCCATTTTTGTGACAACTTTGGGTTCATTTTGTGACAATTTTGGTTCATCTTTGATCATTTTGTGATCATTTTGGGTTGATCTTGGGTTCATTTTGTGAACACAGGGCAGTGTGTATTCTATTTGTCATGTATTAGAGGTGGGGCAATTCTCTTATGTTCATTGGGCAGTTTTCTTTATCTCTGCCACAACCAATCCTCCCTCCAGGAGATATCTCCTGGTAATGATCCATTAATTATTAATTATCTTCTGTTCATGGCCAGTGAGTGTCCCTGCATGGCTGATAAAATTCCATCATCCCATTGGGAGATGCTCTGCCCAGGGGAAGAGCCAAACATTCCTGCCTGGATACAATCTGAGATTTCAAACATTCCTACCTGGACAGACTCTGAGATTTCAAACATTCCTGCCTGGATAGAATCTGAGATTCTGGGACAGCAGAGCAGCTTCTCTACTGCATTCCCAGAGGAGCAGCTGCCTCTTCCACTGGATCTTCAGAGGAAGACTGCACCCTTGTCCAGGATCCCTGCTCCAGCAGAACCACACCTGACACTGCAGGAGGGCTGCAGCCACAATTCCAACTGGACTGCTGCCAACAGGGTGCCAGGTTGTATTGATTCTGTCAGTGGTTTTTCTTTTGTAACCATTTTGGGTTTATTTTTTTACCATTTTTGGTTCATCTTGGGTTCATTTTGTGACCATTTTGGGTTCATCTTGGGTATAACCCTGGGTGGGCTCTTGTGATGCCAAAGTTGAATCCATTGAGGTCTCCTAACAAATCCCTACTCTATTATTGAACAGTCTCTGTTCTAGGTCAGCCTTCACAAGGTGACAACACCTCCCTTGTTGAATTAAGCTTTTTTCTGACTCAGAGTGGGGTAACAGAGGTGTTTCCAACAGAACCACACCTGACACTCCAGGAGGGCTACAGCCACAATTCCACCTGGATTGCTACCAACACCCTGACCCACAGGATGTCAGGTTGTATTCTGACTGTCAGTGGTTTTTCTTTTGTATTACTGCATGTATTTTGGGTTTTTTTTCCCTAATAAATCATATTTCTGACTCTGAGCCTCTCACTGCTTTTGCTTTCAAGCCAGAACACACGGTGTGGCAGTGCTGGGGGCACAGACCTGGGCACAGAGCTGCAGGAGGAGCTGCTGGGGCTGGGCCTCGGGCAGGGAGCGCGCTGCCCGCGCCAGCGCCCGCAGCACGGCCGGGTACGAGGCCCTGCGGCGGCAGTCGTAGGCATCCAGGAACTCCAGCTGCTGCCTGGGCGTCCAGAAGTGCCTGATCAGCAGCTGCCGAGGGAAGAAATACCTGGGGAAAGGCAGGAGAGGGGATTCAGAGAGGGAAGGGCAGGGCAGGGGGTTCCAGGGGGTTCCCTCTTTCTTTTTTGGAGACAGTTGAATATTCACTGCCCTCCCCGAATCTCCATTAATCCAGGAGAAGATTTCCTCCTGAAATGTGCCTGGATGTGGCCTGGAGTGGCAGTGAGTGGAGCTGTCACAGGAATTAGAGTGTCCTTTGTTTTCTTGGAGTTCTTAGACCCTCCTGAATCTCCTCCTCAGGCATCCAGGAACTCCACCTGGACATCCAGAAGTGCCTCACGAGGAGCTACTGAGGGAAGAAATACCTGGGGAAAGGCAGGAGAGGGGATTCAGAGAGGGAAGGGCAGGGCAGGGGATTCCAGGGGATTCCCTCTTTCTTTTTTGGAGACATCCCAGAGCTGGCACTGCCAATCCAGCACTCAGCTCATCAAGGCTATTAGAACATAATTTGTGCTAAATTAAGAAAGAACAGTCTGAGAAACTGAATACCAAGACAGCAAGAACTGGATAACAGAGATATTAAGATATTAAGAACATAAATTGTGCTAAATTTAAAAAGAAGTCTGAGAAACACAATACCAAGACAGCAAGAACTGGGTAACAGAGGGCTGTGAAACACCTGCACTGCAGCCAATCACACACTGTGAGAAATGCAGGCAGAAAATGAGGGAACAACACAAAGACACCAATCAAGAAGTGTGTACTGTGCTTGTAGAGTTCATAAAAGTGTGTGTAATATAAACAATAAATGTAATGTAATGTAATATAAACAATAAATGCAATATAAACAATCAAGCTTCTGCTTGATCATATTTGTTACTTGTTCAGGAGTCCTGCATTTCCCATAATATTTGTTCTTACATGGACAGATTCCTGCCTCTAGAAACCCCCACTGCAGGGAATTTGGGGCTCAGGGCACCCCAATACTCACACCAGGACAATTCCTGCCCTTAAAAACCCCCACTGCAAGGAATCTGGGGCTCAGGGAGCCCAAGGAGCACCCCACTACTCACATCAGGACAATTCCTGCCTCTAGAAACCCCCAGTGCCGGGAATCTGGGGCTCAGGGCACCCCAATACTCACACCAAGACAATTCCTGTCCCTAAAAACCCCCAGTGCAGGGAATGTGGGGCTCAGGGAGCCAGGGCTGGGTACTCACATCAGGACAAGCACCAGGAAGTTGGCGAAGGGGGGGATGGCGATGATCCCGATGGGAATGGCCTTGAGCACGTCCCTGCGGAACTGCCCCGGGGGGCAGGGGGACAGATCAGCACCTGACTCCAAAAAGCCCCAAAAATCCCAAAATTCCTCCCTCCCCGTGCTGGCTGCAGCTGCTAGTCCCTGGTTTTGGGCAGGGATGGTGTCCCAGAGGGGTTGCAGGTGCTCCCTGCAGAGGGGGAAGAGGGGGGCAGAGGTGGGGCAGAAAGGGGGCAGAAAGGGGACAGAAAAGGGACAGAAAAGGGACAGAAAAGGGGGCAGAAAAGGGGGCAGAAAGGGGGCAGAGGGGAGGCAGGTGAGGCAGGGGGAGATGAGGCAGAGATGGGGCAGAAGGGAGGCAGACATGGGGTAGAAGAGAGGGGAGGCAGAGAAGAGGCTGAGGTGGGGCAGAGGGAAGGCTCAGATGAGAGCAGAGGTGGGGCAGAGGGGAGATGAGGCAGGGATGAGGCACAGAGGAGGCTGAGGGGAGGCAGGGATGAGGCAGAGGGGAGGCAGAAGGGAGGCAGAGACAGAGGTGAGGCAGAGATGGGGCAGAGATGAGGCAGGGGTGAGGCACAGGGGAGGTGAGGCACAGGGGAGGGGAGGCAGGGATGAGGCTGAGATGAGTGCAGAGGAAAGGTGAGGCAGGGGTGAGGCAGAGGGGAGATGAGGCAGAGATGGGGCAGAGATGAGGCAGGAGGGAGGCAGAGGGAAAATGAGGCAGGGTGAGGCAGAGACTAAGGTGAGGGGAAGCAGAGATGAGGCAGGGGGGAGGCACACAGAAGATGAGGCAGGGATGAGGCAGGGATGGGGCAGGGATGGGCTGGGATGGAGCAGGGATGGGGCACACAGAAGCTGGGGCAGGGATGGGGCAGGGATGGGGCACACAGAAGCTGGGGCAGGGATGGGCTGGGATGGGGCAGGGAAGGGGCAGGGAAGGGGCAGGGATGGGCAGGGATGGAGCAGGGCATCAGGAAGGGATTAAAAACAGGGAAGGGGCATCAGAAAGGGATTAAAAACAGGGAAAGGGCATCAGGAAGGGACTGATAACAGGGAAAGGGCATCAGGAAGGGACTCGTGTGTGGAGCAAAAGTGGGGCAGCGATGGGGCAGGGATGGGGCAGGGATGGGGCAGGGATGGGCAGGGATGGGCAGGGATGGGGCAGGGATGGGCACACAGAAGCCGGGGCACGGAGCTGCAGCTGACCTGGCGCAGGCGCTCCATGTCGCGGTACGGGAGCTGCTGCGGGCTCAGCTGCAGCTGGGCCATCCTGGCCCTGATCCTCCTGATCTCCTGCACCTCCAGGAACAGCGCCTGCACCCCTGCAGGGACAGGGCTCCCTCAGGAACCAGCCCCCAGGCAGGGCCTGGCAGCTGCAGCCTCTGCCCCCACTCCAAAACGGGTCCTTCTGACAGCTGGGACCCCTTTTGGGACCCCTTTTGGGACCCAGATGTTGGGGGCCCCCCATCAGCCCCCCTTTTCCTTGGGACACCCCTTTCTAGAACACCCCACCCACTTTCAAACCCTCTTTTCTTAACCCACCTGCTGGGATCCCCCCCCCCATTTGGAACCCAGATATTCAGACTCCCCCATCAGCCTCCCTTTTTTCTTAGGACACCCCTTTTTGGAACACCCCACCCTCTTTCAGACCCCCTTTTTTGGACCCAGCCCCTGTGCCCCCTTTTACGACCTCCTTTGGACTCAGATCTTTGGGCTCCCCTTTTTCAGCCCCCCTTTTTCTTAGGACACTCCTTTTTGGAACACCCCATCATCTTTCAAACACAATTTTTGGACCCATCTGCTGGGACCCCCTTTTTGGGACCCCATTTTGGGCTCCCCTTTTTCAGCACCCACCTCTTGGGACACCCCTTTTTGGAACACCCCCAAAAAACCAGGATTTTCAGACCCCCTTTTCCTGACCCAGCTGCTGGGACCCCCCCCATTTGGAACCCAGATATTCAGACTCCCCCATCAGCACCCCTTTTTTCTTAGGACACCCCTTTTTTTCAGCACCCCCTTTTTTGGACCCTCCCTTTAACACCCCTTTTTGGGCCCACGCCCTTTCAGACCCCCCTTTTTCGGACCCCCCTTTTTGGGGTCCCCCTCTCCGCCCTGACCCGTTTTGAAGGTGCTGTGCAGGAGGTAGAACCGGGGCCAGCTCCTCTCCAGGTACCGCTCGTACCGGGCGCTCACCCGCCGGGCAGCGGCGGCCACGGCGGCCACGAGGGCTCGGGAGGAGGCGCGGGACGAGAGAGAACGGACCTGGGAACACAGCGGGGAGCTGCGCCCCGAGCCCCGGGTGAGCCCCGAGCACACCGGGGAGACCCAGCCCCGAGCCCCGGGTGAGCCCCGGGCACACCGGGGAGCTGGGAACCCCCCCGGGGCAGGGCTGGGGAGCGAATCGGGGCCCGAGGGAATTGAGGGGCCCCCGGTGGTTCCGGTATTCCCGTGCCGGGCTCGGGCAGGGCGGTAATGGGCGGTACCGGCAGGGAACGGCAGCGCGGTAACGGAGACGGGTTGCGATAACGGGGGGCACCGAGCGCTGGGCAACAGCGTGGGGGGACACGGCCAGGCGCGGGGGGAGCCGCAGAGGGCGAGGGGGGTAAAGGGGAGGGGTACTCGGCGAGGGATCACGACCGCGGTCGGTTTTGGCCGGTATTTAACGAGGGCTGCCGTCGGTGTTTGGGTCTCCCTGAAGGAAGCGTGACCCGGCCGGCACCACGGCTGCTCCGCGGGGGTCCCCGCTCACCTGGACACGGCCAGAGCGAGCTGCGGCTGCATCGGGCCCCGCGGGGGGCTCAGGGCGGCGGGGCCGAGGCGCCAAAGCCCCCCCCGGGCCGCGGCCCCGGGCAGCGCCATCTTGGCGGCTCACAGGGCGGCGGTCACGTGCGGCTCCCAGCGCTGATTGGCTGCCGCGCCAGAAGTGCCCGTGTGCCGGGGGCTCCGGGCGCGCCCCGAACCTCCGCATTTCTGTTCCGCCCAGCCCAACCGGGCGCTCCCCGGTCCAACCGGGCCCGGCTCTGCCCCGGTGGCGGCGCTTCCTCCCGGGTGGGTGAGCCGGAACCCTCCTCCCGCTTCCCCAGGGTTGGAACCTTTCCCACTCCCGTGCAGCAGCTGTCGCTGTGCCCCCGTGCTGCCTCCCGAGCCCGCTTCTCCCGGTTCTCTCCCGGTTCTCCGGGCAGGACCCGCCGTCTGCGGCTCCTCCCTTCCAGCCCAGCGCTATGTGGGTCATGTTTGTTTTCCTCGTTCCAAACAAACCAAACCCTACCCAAGGATTTTCGGGAAACACCCGCAGAAATTCCCGGCGCCGGTGCCACCCCCGGTGCCCCTCAGGGCCTCCCGGTGCCCCCGGGGACTCCCGGTGCCCCCGGGGACTCTCTCCGCTCCCCGGGACGTGGCACCCGTGCCCTCCTCACCTGTGCCCGGGTGCTGCTGACTCTGCTGTTCATTTATCGCCCCCGTGGCCCGGGACGCTCCGGGCCGCACGTCCCGGGGCTGCCCGAGCAGAGTCCGGCCCGCATCAGCGGAGCCGCCGCCGCTTCATCAAAGCGGCTTAACGAGCGGCTAATTAACGATCGGCGCCCTTTGAGGTGCCTCGGAGCTTTTTCGGGGACTCTGCTCGGGGTGGAATGGGGCAGGGAGGGGACACCCGTTAAATACGGAGGGGACGGGGCACGGGAACCGGAGGGGCTGCGGGAGCCATGCCCGGTAATCCCGGCTGCGAGCGGGGTGAGTACCGGCCGTGCCCGGGGCGGGCGGGATTGGGGCACTTTGGGACACTTTGGGGCACTTTGGGGCAGTTTCCCAGCCCAAACCAGCCGAGATTTGGGGATTTGGGGCAGTTTAGGGCACTTTGGGGCAATTTCCCCAGCCCAAACTATCCGGAATTTGGGGCAGTTTGGGGCAGATACCCAGCCCAAATCAGCTGAGATTTGGGGATTTTGGGAATTTTGGGCAGTTTCCCAGCCCAAATCAGCCGAGATTTGGGGATTTGGGGCACTTTGGGGCTCTTTGGGGCAGTTTCCCCGCCCAAACCAGCCGAGATTTGGGGATTTGGGGCAGTTTGGGGCACTTTGGGGCAATTTCCCCAGCCCAAACTATCCGGGATTTGGGGCACTTTGGGGCTCTTTGGGGCAGTTTCCCCGCCCAAACCAGCCGAGATTTGGGGATTTGGGGCAGTTTGGGGCACTTTGGGGCAATTTCCCCAGCCCAAACTATCCGGGATTTGGGGCACTTTGGGGCAGATACCCAGCCCAAACCATCCGGGAATTGGGGATTTTGGGAATCTGGGGCAGATACCCAGCCCAAATCAGCCGAGATTTGAGGATGTGGGGCATTTTCATAGCCCAGATCAGCCGGAATTTGGGGAGTTTGGGGCACTTTGGGGCAGTTCCCCAGCCCAAACTATCCAGGATTTGGAGATTTTTGGGGCACTTTGGGGCAGTTTCCCAGCCCAAACCAGCTGAGATTTGGAGATTTTGGGCAATTTGGGGCAGTTTCCCAGCCCAGCCCAGCCGGGATTTGCGAATTTTGGGGCAGTTTCCCGGCCCAAACCTGCCGGGGTTGGGGATTTTGCGGAGTTTGGGGCAGTTTGGAGTGGTTTCCCAGCCCAAACCAGCCGGGATTAGGGATTTGGGGATTTTGGGGCAGTTTCCCAACCCAAACCAGCCGAGTTTTAAGGATTTTGGGCAGTTTGGGGCACATTCCCAGCCCAGCCCAGCCGGGATTTGAGAATTTTGGGGCAGTTTCCCAGCCCAAACCTGCCGGGATTGGGGATTTTGCGGAGTTTGGGGCAGTTTGGAGTGGTTTCCCAGCCCAAACCAGCCGGGATTTGGAGATTTTGGGGCAGTTTGGGGCAGATTCCCAGCCCAAATCAGCCGGGATTTGGGGATTTTAAGGCACTTGGGGACAGTTTGGGGCAATTTCCCAGCCCAAACCAGACGAGATTTGGAGATTTGGGGCAGTTTGGGGCACATGCCCAGCACAGCCCAGCCGGGATTTGGGGATTTTGAGCGGATTCCCAGCCCAAACCAGACGGGATTTGGGGATTTTTGACAATTTGGGGCAGATTCCCAGCACAAACCAGCTGGGATTGGGGAGTTTTGAGCAGTTTGGGGCAGTTTCCCAGCCCAAACCAGCCGGGATTTGGGGATTTTTGACAATTTGGGGCAGATTCCCAGCACAAACCAGCTGGGATTTGGGAATTCTGAGCAGTTTGGGGCAGTTTCCCAGCCCAACCCAGCCGGGATTTGGGGATTTTGGGGTACTTTGGGACAGTTTGGGGCAGTTTCCCAACCCAAACCAGCCGGGGTTTGGGGATTTTGGGCAGTTTGTGCAGTTTCCCAGCTCCTGGCTGCCTTTGGGGTCAGTCCCGCCTGGTTCCAAGTGGGGAGCGAGGCCTCCCGTTGGGTCATTCCTATTTTTAGGAATATTTTTTTGTGTTATTCCTGTTCTGTCGGGTCAGAGCTGTTGTGGTGGAGTCTCCCACCTCCTGGATTTTTCATTTTTCCAGGATTTGGCCATTTAGCAGCACCATTAATAATGGCACACCATTAATAACGCCAGGCTGCTCCTGCACAGACATCCCAAAATCCCACCGTGGGCACCCCAAAATCCCACCCTGGGCATCCCAAAATCCCAAAATTATACCCTGGGCACCCCAAAATCCCACCCTGGGCATCCCTGGAGTGCTTTCCAAACGCTCCTGGCAGTCCTGGGGGTCCTGGGCAGTGCCCAGCACCCTCTGGGGGCAGAACCTTGCCCTGTACCCATCCCAAAGCTGCCCTGGCACGGCTCCAGCCCTGCCCCTGGGTGTGCCCCCACCCACCACAGGGGTCTGGGGACCCTCCTGGGGCCTCCCTGGGGCTCAACCCCCCCCTCCAGGGGCTCAGGAGCTGCACTGGGGCCCATGATCCCTGCACCGGGGCACTGGGACCCCAAACTGGGGAACTGGGACCTGGGGCTCTGTCTGCCATCCTGGGACCCCAAACTGGGATCTGGGACCCCAAACTGAGCCCTGGAGCCCAAAATTGGGACCTGGGACCCCAAACTGGGGGACTGGGACCCCAAATTGGGATCTGGGTCCCCAAACTGGGGGACTGGGACCCCGAACTGAGACCTGGGACCCCAAACTGGGATCTGGGACCCCAAACTGGGATCTGGGACCCCAAACTGGGACCTGGTGCCCCAAACTGAGACCTGTGACTCCAAATTGGGACCTGAGACCCCAGACGGGGACCTGGGGGCCTGGTTGCCATCCTGGGACCCCAAACTGGGACCTGGGACCCCAAACTGGGACCTGGGACCCCAAACTGGGACCTGGGCCCCAAACTGGGATCTATGGCTTGGTCTGCTATCCTGGGCCCCCAAACTGGGATCTGGGCCCCGGCTGCCATCCTGGTGCCACGCTGGGGCTCGCCCCCCGCACCCCCCAGCCCCGGACCTAGGTTCGGGCTCAGGCCCCACCCCGGGGTCCCGGTGCCGCCCCCGGTGCCGCCCCGTGACGCGCTCGGTGCGCCGGGACGCGGCTCGGGCCGGGCATGCGGCGGCGGCGGCGGGGCCGGGGGCGGCCGGGGCCGGTGAGCGATGGGGGGCGGAACGACCCTCGGCGGACGGACCGGAGTGGTCCCGGTTGTGCCGCAGGGGGCTCCGGTGCCGGGGGTCCCGGGGACTTCAGCCCCGGGGGGTTTGCGGGGGGCTCCGGTGCCCGGGGATACCGAGGGGTTTGGGGGCCTCCGGTGCACCCCCCAGCCCCGGACCTAGGTTCGGGCTCAGGCCCCACCCCGGGGTCCCGGTGCCGCCCCCGGTGCCGCCCCGTGACGCGCTCGGTGCGCCGGGACGCGGCTCGGGCCGGGCATGCGGCGGCGGCGGCGGGGCCGGGGGCGGCCGGGGCCGGTGAGCGATGGGGGGCGGAACGACCCTCGGCGGACGGACCGGAGTGGTCCCGGTTGTGCCGCAGGGGGCTCCGGTGCCGGGGGTCCCGGGGACTTCAGCCCCGGGGGGTTTGCGGGGGGCTCCGGTGCCCGGGGATACCGAGGGGTTTGGGGGCCTCCGGTGCCAGGGGGTCCCCTGGATTTGCTGCGGGGGTCTCCAGCCCCGGGGGGTCCGTTACCGGGGATACCGGGGGGCTCCGGTAGCGGGGATACCGGGGGGTTTGGGGGGCTCCGGTGCCCCCCGGGGGTCCCCTGGATGTGCTGCGGGACCCCTGGGTGGGGGTCGGGAGGGGGTCACGGAGCCGCTGCCCATCGCCCCCCGGCGCTGCCCGCGGGGGTTCGGGGTCCCCCGGTGACCTTGGGGTGTCCCGGGGACCCGGCCGGGGGTGGCGGCACCGGCTCCGACCCTCTGCGCTCCGCCGGGGTTTGGGGGTCCCCCAGGCTCGTCCCTTCGGGCTGGGGGTGCCGGGGCTCTGTGCGGAGCCCCGCGGGGCTCGATCTGCCCGGGATGGGGTCCCCGTGTCCCCGGTGGCAGCTCCGGTTCCATCCCGGTACGAGGCTGAGTCCGGCCGGTACCGAAGGCCCCTCAGCGGCTCCGGGAATGTCGCGGTGACCCGGCAGGGCTCCGCGCTCCCGGCTGGCCCCGGGCAAGGTTCACACGTGGCGCTCAGAGCGGGCTCCGGTCCCTCCGCGCTCCCGGTAACGGGAGAGCAGCGCCGGAGGGTGCGGTGACGGCTCCGGGGTTTTGTGGCTTTGGAAACTCTCGGTCCCAGGTGTGCGTCAGCTGCCCCGTCCCACGCTGGAAGGAACGAGCGGGGCTGGATCTTTAGTCTGGGGCTGGACCCTAAATCTGGGGGGTGGACCCTAAATCTGGGAGGTGGCTCCTAAATTGAGAGCTGGATCTTAAATCTGGAGCTGGATCCCAAATCTGGAGGCTGCCTCCGAAGTCTGGGGGATGGCTCTTGAACCTGGGGCTGGACCCTAAATCTGGGGGCTGGCTCCTGGATCTGGGGGCTGCCTCCAAAATCTAGGGGCTGGCTCTTAAATTTGGGGGCTGGCTCCTAGCTTTGGGGGCTGGATCTTAAATCTGGGGGCTGGACCCTAAAACTAGGGCTGGCTTCTAAATCTGGGGCTGGATCTTAAATCTGGGGGCTGGAGGCCTAAATATTTGGGGGCTGAGCAGGCCGGGAGGAGAGCTGCTCCTCCCTGCAGGTGTTGGTGGTTTCGGGGTGTGGAGTAACTGGGTCACCCTCGATACTTCAACCCTCGTGGTGAGAGGAGGGCACCCCGAGGTGAGCGGGGTAGGCTTGGTACCCGGTGCCTCGTGCCCTGCTGAGCCCAGGCCAGGCTCGGTGCCGTGCTGAGCCCAGGCCAGGCTCGGTGCTCTGCTAGCCCAGGCCAGGCTTGGAGCCCCATGCCGTGCTAGCCCAGGCCAGGCTCAGTGCCCTGTGCCCTGCTAACCCAGGCCAGGCTTGGAGCCCCATTAGGGCTAGCCCAGGGCAGGCTTGGTGCCCTGCTGAGCCCAGGGCAGGCTCAGTGCCCTGTGCCCTGCTAACCCAGGCCAGGCTCAGTGCCCTGCTAACCCAGGCCAGGCTCGGTGCCCCAGGCAGGCTCAGCTCATCTTACCCTGCTGAGCCCAGGGCAGGCCCCAGCTCTGTGCCCTGCTGAGCCCAGGGCAGGCCCCAGCTCAGTGCCCTGCTGAGCCCAGGGCAGGTCCCAGCTCTGTGCCCTGCTGAGCCCAGGGCAGGCCCCAGCTCTGTGCCCTGCTGAGCCCAGGGCAGGCCCCAGCTCCCGAGTGTGGGATGGGGTCAGGGCAGGGACTGAGCTGGTCCGACCTGCTCAGGTGGGCAGGGCCCTGCTTGGTGAGACAGGAGCAGAGTGGGCTCAGCCCTGCCTGGAGCTGCTGCTCGTGTGCTGGGCAGGAGTGGGGCAGGGCAGGGAGTGAGGGAGCCCACAGGGATGGATCCCTCAGGGTGATGGAGCCCACAGGAATGGAGCCCGTAGGGTGATCCTACAGGGATGGGTCCCACAGGGCTGATCCCATGGGGATGGATCCCTCAGGGTGATCCCATGGGGATGGATCCTACAGGGATGGGATCCCACAGGGGTGATCCCATGGGGATGGATCCTACAGGGATGGGATCCCACAGGGGTGATCCCATGGGGATGGATGATCCCACAGGAATGGATGATCCCACAGGGATTGGATCCCACAGGGGTGATCCCATGGGGATGGATCCTACAGGGATGGAGCCCACAGGAATGGAGCCCATAGGGTGATCCCACAGGAGTGGATCCTACAGGGATGGGTTCCACAGGGCTGATCCCATGGGGATGGATGATCCCACAGGGATGGATCCCACAGGGATGGATGATCCCTCAGGGCTGATCCCTCAGGGTTGATCCCACAGGGATGGATGATCCCATAGGGTTGATCCCACAGGGATTGGATCCCACAGGGCTGATCCCATAGGGATGGATGATCCCATAGGGTTGATCCCACAGGGATTGGAGCCCACAGGGCTGATCCCACAGGGATGGATGATCCCATAGGAATGGATGACCCCACAGTGGTGATCCCCCCGTGCTGTGCCCCAGGGTGACCCCAGCAGGTCCCTGCAGAGGACAGGGTTTCCAGGTCCTGGGCCCGGTGGTGCTGGTGCAGCAGAGGAGCAGGGCAGTGTGGGAGGGGTCAGCAGGCTGGAATCAGGGCATGGAGCTTGGGAGATCTCTCTGGGATCATCCAGTCCAAGCATTCCAGCACCCAGCTCACCAGCTGCCTGTGCTGGCGTGCCAAGCAGCTCCTGGGCTGTGTGTGCCCACGGCTCCCTGTGTGACCCCACCTGGAAGGGCTGGCCCGAGGCTCAGTGAGCAGTCACGGGCTCCCAGTGCCGCCAGGTGAGGTGTCACCAGCCTGCAGGGTGTCTGTGCGTGGAGCACAGCAAGATGTCAGCCCCAAAACCACCTCAGAAGGATCCGTCAGGACCCTGCAGGAACAGCCCTGCTCAAAGCCCACATCAAAGGCCTGAGCTCAATGGCAGGAACTGCTCCCAGCACGGGGCCTGCGTGAGGAGGAGCAGGATGAGCCCAGGGTGGTGAGGAGCAGGAGCAGGATGAGCCCAGGGCTGTGGAAGGAGCAGGATGAGCCCAGGGCTGTGGAAGGAGCAGGATGAGCCCACGGTGGTGAGGAGGAGCAGGATGAGCCCAGGGTGAGGAGGAGGAGCAGGATGAGCTCAGGATGGGGAAGAAGAGCAGGAGCAGGATGAGCCCAGGGTGGTGAGGAGCAGGAGCAGGATGAGCCCAGGGTGGTGAGGAGCAGGAACAGGATGAGCCCAGGGCTGTGGAAGGACTCGTGGGACAGCAGGGTGGGGGCAGAACAAGAAGCCCATTGTCCATTGTTGGCTGCACACAGCCAGCAGCTGTGTCTGGAGGGAGGGCACAGGCACCTCGTGGTGCTCTGCTCAGGGCTGGGTGGATCCAGGGAAGGATCAAGGCTGGGTTCCCTGGGAAAGAGCTGCTGTGCCCACTGTGATGCCAGGCTCAGCCTGGGGGTGAGCCTGCTGAGCCCACACCTGGTGCCAGGGAGAGACCCCAGGGCTGGATGTGAGCCCAGGTGGGCATGGGGGCACCTGGCTTGTGTCACCTGGCTTGTGTGCCCACTGGCACCACCAGGGCAGTGCCCATCCCAAGCTGGGCAGGGCTGAGTGCCCAGCCTGAGCCCTGGGGTCAGTTTTGGGTGCCCAGAGCAGGACAGGGAGGGGCTGGAGCTGGGACAGGCTGAGGGGTCTGGGGGGCTCAGCCTGGAGAAAAGGAGGCTCAGGAGGGACCATGTGGCTCTGCACAGGAGAAACTTCAGTGGGGGAGCCAAGTCCAGCTCTGAGGCTCCCAGCAGGGATCAGAGAGGGAATTTAGGCTGGGACCAGCTAAGAAAGTCCCTCTGCCCTGCCCAGGGGAGCCCAGGGGCAGCTGGAGCCCAACGGGAGGAGCAGCCAGGTCAGGCTCTGCTCCCAGGCAACAGGAGGAGAGAAAAAGTCTTTTTGGGCTCCTCATCACCATCATGGCCCTGACCTTTGGATATGAGGTACCCACCCCAGGAGACCTGAGGGGTCCAGAGCCAGGAGTGGGGCTGGGGAAGGGGCTGCAGCACCAGGAGAGGCTGAGGGAGCTGGGAAAGGGGCTCAGCCTGGAGAAAGGGAGCTCAGGAGGGGCCTTGGCTCTGCACAACAGGAGGGGACAGCCAGGTGGGGTTTGGGCTCTGCTCCCAGGGGACAGGAGGAGACAAAAAGACATCCAGGGGAGGTTTAGGTTGGAATTTAGGGAGAATTCCTTCATGGAAAAGCTGCTCAGGTGGAGTCCCCACAACTCCCTGACAGGGGAAACAGTCAGGTGGGTTTGGGCTCTGCTCCCAGGTGAGAGGATGAAACAAAAAGGCATCCAGAGGAGGTTTAGGTTGGAATTTAGAGAAGATTCCTTCATGGAAAAGCTGCTCAGGCCAAGGGTGGAGTCACCACAATTCCCTGACAGGAGGGGACAGCCAGGTGGGGTTTGGGCTCTGCTCCCAGGGGACAGGAGGAGACAAAAAGGCATCCAGGGCAGATTTTTAGGATTTTAGGGAGAATTCCCTCATGGAAAAGGCAGCCCACGGGAGGCTCCTGGGGGTGGGTGAGCTGGAGATGTTCCCAGGCTGGGTGTGGGTGCAGCCCCCAGCCCTGCAGCTGCTGGGGCAGATAAGGGGCCCTGTCCTGCCCCTCCCAGGCTGGCCTCAGATACTGAGGTGGGTCCACAACGAACATTCCCCCCCAAATCCCCCTCCTGGCTCCACCCTGGGGTGAAGCTCTGGTGGGACTCACTGCTGGGGTAAGGGCATTCCTCCTGGATCACCTTTTGGAGAAAAGTTGGTTTTTTGCTAAACTTTACTGGGTTTTTTGTTTGTTTGTTTTTTGGTTTTTTTTTAATGGAGGCTCTGAGGTTTGGTGCTTAGAAAAGAAGGAAAAGTTTTTGTGAGGGGTCAGAGCTGGAGGAGTCTCTGGCTGATGATTTCCTTTTGCATCCTCTCTGAACCAATATTCCCTTGTTTGCTGGAAATCTCCCTTTCAAACCCGATGGAATTTCAGAGGATTTGGTGCTTTGTTGGCTTCCCCTGGGAGTTTGAGCTCCTGGATGCCTCCTTATCCCTCCCAACCCCATTCCAGATCCTGCCTGGCTTTAATTTAAACCCAGGCTGTGATGAAGGAGTTAAACCTGCTCTTAACCCACTTCCCACTGCCTGGGGGGGGGGTTGAGGGGCCTGGGAGGGTTTGGGGGTGCAGGGAAGGGGGGTGAGATGTGGTTTCCTCACCAGGGGAATTCCCTGCTCATTTCCTGCCTGGGGTTTCACAATCAGCTCCAGCTGCCCCTGGGCTCTCCTGGGCACAGCAGAGAGACTTCCTTAGCTGGTCCCAGCCTAAATTCCCTCTCTGATCCCTGCTGGGAGCTCAGAGCTGGAATTGGGTCCCTCACTGGGATTTCTCAGAGCCTGGGAAGTGAATCTGTCTCTGTCCCCCTCTCTCCTGCCAGCTCTGATTTTCCATCCTGGTAGTCTTTTATTAATAATATTAATATTATTAACTATCCTTTGTTATAATGACTTTTAAGATCAAACTAATTAGGGAATGGTACTTAAATTATTTCCTTTTTGAACTAAATAACTAATCTTTCCAAGTCCAGACGTTTTTGTTTAATTACAAAATACTACTTAAACTTATGAAGAAGAAGGAAAATAATAACAATTTGTTTCTGCCTTAAAACTTTTCATATTTATTACTGTACTTCAAAACTCTAAGTTTTCTACTTTGTGGTATTACACACTTTTAACTAATTGCACACGTGTAATCTTAGTGCTATTAATTAATTTTGGAAGCTTATTCCACAGCCTCAGGTCCAATGCAGTGGGGTTTTTTTGTGCCTTTCAGCACAGCAAATTAAAAATTCTTAACACCTAGGGCTCTGACTCACCCTGACAGGATTTTTCCTTTTTTCCAGCCCATGTGTCCAGAGTGAAGCAGCTCCCAGAGCAGGGCAAGGCCTCCCCCATGGGCACCTCAGACATGGAGAGGAAAGCATCCTATGGTGAGCCTGGCACAGGGGGCCTGCCCTCATCCCCCTGCCCTTCTCCCTGCTTTTTGGGGTGCTGGGCTGAGCCCTCATCCCCCCTTTCTCCCTGCTTTTTGGGGTGCTGGGCTGAGCCCTGATCCCCCCTTTTCCTTCTCCCTGCTTTTTGGGGTGCTGGGCTGAGCCCTCATCCCCCCCTTCCCTTACCCCTGCTTTTTGGGGTGCTGGGCTGAGCCCTTGCAGCACCCCAGGGTCACTGAGCCCAGCTGAACCAGCCCAACCAGCCCGGCCTGGGCAGGAATGTCCTGGGGGAAATCTGCCAGCAGGATCTCTGCACACCTGGGCAGCTCTGAGCAGGGATCCCTGCACACCTGGGCAGCTCACCTGGGCAGCTCTGAGCAGGGATCCCTGCACACCTGGGCAGCTTTGAGCAGGGTTCCCTGCACACCTGGGCAGCTCTGAGCAGGGATCCCAGCACACCTGGGCAGCTCCCAGCACACCTGGGCAGACCCCTGCACACCTGGGCAGCTCTGAGCAGGGATCCCAGCACACCTGGGCAGCCCCAGCAGGATCCCTGCACACCTGGGCAGCCCCAGCAGGATCCCTGCACACCTGGGCAGTCCCAGCAGGATCCCTGCACACCTGGGCAGCCCCAGCAGGATCCCTGCACACCTGGGCAGCTCTGAGCAGGGATCCCAGCACACCTGGGCAGCCCCAGCAGGATCCCAGCACACCTGGGCAGCCCCAGCAGGATTCCTGTGTAAGGAGGCCCTGGCCGGGCTCGGGAGGCCGGGAGGAGGAGGAGGAGGAGGAGGAGGAGGAGGAGGAGCCCGGGTGATGCAATCGGAGCTGGGCAGAGCTGCCCTGTCCCTGCCCTGTCCCAAAGCCGCGCTGCTGCCGGGGAGGGAATGGCCCCTGGGGAGAGCAGCAGTGAGTGGGGGGCTCTGGGGGGTTGTATGGGATTGGGAGAGAGTGTGGGATCGTGTGTGGGACTGGGATCCTGTATGGGGTTGTGTGGGGAGGGAGTGTGGGGTTGTGTGGGACTGGGAGAGAGTATGGGATCAAGTATGGGATTGGGAGACAATAGGGGATTTTATAGGGTTGGAAGAGAGTATGGGGTTGTGTGGGACTGAGAGAGAGTGTGGGGTTGTGTGGGATTGTATGGGATTGGGAGAGAGTGTGGGATCGTGTGTGGGACTGGGATCCTGTGTGGGATTGTGTGGGGAGAGATTGTGGGGTTGTGTGGGACTGGGAGAGAGTATGGGATTGAGTGTAGGATTGGGAGAGAGTGTGGGGTTGTGTGGGATTGGGAGTGGGGTTGTATAGGATTGGGAGAGAGTGTGGGATTGTGTGGAGTTGTATAGGATTGGGACAGAGTGTGGGATCTAGTATGGGATTAGGAGAGAGTATGGGATTGTATAGAGCTGGGAAAGAGTGTGGGGTTGTGTGGGATTGTATAGGATCTGGAGTGATTGTGGGGTTGTGTGGGGCTGGGAGAGAGCCTGGGATGGAGATTTTGCTGGCAGTGGTGGGGGCACAGGGTGGCAGTGTGGGGATGGGGAATTTGGGAATGGGGGAATTTGGGGATGTGTCAGTGTGGGGATGGGGAATGTGGGGAAGTTGCAGTGTGGGGATGGGGAATTTGGGAATGGGGGAATTTGGGGATGTGGCAGTGTGGGACCTGCTGGGGTGACCCTGCCCGTTTCCTCCCTCCTCACCCTCGGGAGCTCAGTGCTGGCTGTCCCTGCTGGGGCTGTGCCATCTCCTGGCTGTCCCTTGCTCCAGGTGTTGGATTTCCCTGGGATCCAGCCAGGAGAGGCTGGGATGAAGGTGCAGGGGCAGTCCCAGATTTCTCTGGGATCTGACTCATCCAGATTAATCGTTAATTAATCATTAATCGTTTTGGGGACGCTGCTCCTGCCACCACTCCAGATCAGCCCACAGAATGGGCTTTTTAAAAATTACCTGGAATAAATAAATAAATCCCAGCCTCCAGCCTGGAACCAGGAGGGAGAGGAGCCTCTGAGGGATGCAGCAGTGTGGGATATTTTAATTTAATTACCTCTTTATCACTTAATTGCTATCAACCGTGCTGGCTTGTTGTTCTGCTGTGCCTGTGGGGCCCCTGCAGGATCTGCTGCCCTTGCAGGGTGCTCAGTGCTCCTGTCCCTCTGTCCCTGCAGAGGATGTCCCCGGGGAGCCCGGGGGGCTCGGGGGGGTGGTCAGCACCATCTCCAGCAGCAGGAGCCCCCTGCAGCCCCCCGAAGCTGATGATGGGGAGCCCTTCACCACCTACTTCGACAGCAAGATCCCCATCCCTGAGGATGAGACGGTGAGTGGGAAATCCCTGCTGGAAAAGTCTGCCTCAGACACACGTAGGAATGTGGGTTTTGTTGTTCATGGAGTGACAAAACTATCTTTTGTCTTTCTAAAAAGGAAATAAGTTTAGAAGTTTCTCTTTTTAATTAGGTGAAAAGGCATTTTATAGGACTTGGGGGACTTTACTTCAAACTTAAGAGTAGCTAATTAAACAGAAGCCAAGAAGTTTTGCTTAAGCAATTTATTAGAAATAGAAGAGAACAAAGGAACTAATTGCTTTTGTGGGGTGTTTTACCATGGGCAAGAACCTCTTGCACCTGGCTGCGTTTTTCTCTATAAAGAGTTTTGTTATTTTGCCTTTTATTAAAACTTTTTTTGTTTCTAACACTACCATCCTGCTGATTTTATGTCATCTGAGGTGGCTGAGCTATCTTGGGTGTGGTGTGAAATAAATCTCCAAAAACTTATGAGACCTGGCTGGAGGAGACCCTTAAATCAGTGCAGTTAGGGTTTTCTTTTCCTCTTGCATCTGGCTGGGTTTTTCTCTATAAAGAGTTTTGTTATTTTGCCTTTTTTTAATTTTTTTTGTTGTTTCTAACACCACCATCCTGCTGATTTGATACCTTCTAAGGTGGCTGAGCTATCTTGGGTGTGAAATAAATCTCCAAGAGCTTCTGAGACCTGGCTGGAGGAGCTCCATATTTCAGACACCCCCTGAGTCACTCCCAGGGGCTCCAGTTCCCCGTCCAGCCTGCACTGGGAACCACTGGGAGGGGGGCAGGGGAGGGGGGGAGGGGTCTCCCGTGGTTTGGGGGACGTGGGGCCCCTGTTAATGATTGATCCCACGGCATTTGGCTCCTGCTTGGAGCAGCCAAAGAGCAGGGAAGGGCCTTGTCAGAGCTCAGGGAGGGACTGGGCTCTTTGTTCCCTTATCAGGGAGTGGGAGCTCTGGCTGGCCTCGTGACTCTGTCCCCTCTGTCCCCTGGCCTTGGCTGCAGCCCCCAGTGTCAGCTGCCAGCTGGGGAGGGTCCTGCTCCCCCCTGGGGCTCCCTGGGTGTCACCTTGGCTCGGGGGACAGCCCAGACTGGGAGCAGCAATCCCAGTTTGGGGTGGGATCAAGGATCAGGGTTTAGGATGGGATTAGGGAACGGTTTGGTTTTACAGCCCTGCAGAGTTTGGGGTGGGTTAAGGAGCAGGCTGAGCTGGGGTGTTCCAGGAATGTGCCCCCTGTTGACAGAGTGACCAAATTATCCTTTGTCTCCTTAACAAGGAAAAAAAGCCCAGAAGTTCCTTTCCTCAATTAGCAAAGAAGACACCTCATAGGACCTGAGGGACTTCACCTCAAACTTAAGGATTGGGCAGGAGCCAAAAAGTCCCACCTAAGCAATTCACTAGAAAAAGAAGAGAACAAAGGAACTGATTGCTTTTGTGGGGTGTTCTACCAGGAGCAAGAACCTCTTCCACTTAACTCGGGTTTTCTCTATAAAGAGTTTTGTTAATTTGCCTTTTATTAAAACTTTTCTGTTGCCAACACCACCACAGAAGCCATTGTGCTGATTTTATGTCATCTAAGGTGGCTGAGCTATCTTGGGTGTGAAATAGATCTCCAAAAACTTATGAGACCTGGCTCAAGGAGATCCTTATATCAGTGGAGTTAGGGTTTTTTTCCCTCTTGCACCTGGCTCAGTTTTTCTCTATAAAGAGTTTTGTTATTTTGCCTTTTATTAAAACTTTTTTGTTCCTAACACCACCATCCTGCTGATTTTCTACCTTCTAAGGCAGCTGAGCTATCTTGGGGGTGAAATAAATCTCCAAAAACATACGAGACCTGGCTGGAAGAGCCCTTATCGGGTGACAGTGAGGGAATTAATCAATTAATTAGTTAATTTCTGTCCCCTCCTGCAGCATTCCTGCTTCAGCTTCCGCAAGCTGTGGGCGTTCACGGGGCCGGGGTTCCTGATGAGCATCGCCTACCTGGACCCTGGCAACATCGAGTCTGACCTGCAGTCCGGGGCTGTGGCTGGCTTCAAGGTGGGCACAGGGGCACCCACGGGGTCCCACGGGGGCTGGGGGGGCTGGCTGCACCCCACAGAGGTGTGGGGTCACATCCCCGTGGCTCTGGGGACATTTGGGGTCTCCCATCCCTGTGGTTGTGGGGACATTGGGGATGTGCCACCCCTGTGACTCTGGAGACATTTGGGATTTGCCATCCCTGTGACTCTGGGGACATTTGGGATGTGCCACCCCTGTGGGGACATTTGGGGTCTCCCATCCCTGTAGTTGTGGGGACATTTGGGATGTGCCATCCCTGTGACTAGGAACATTTGGGATTCCCATCCCTGTGACTCTGGGACATTTGGGAATGTCCCATCCCTGTGACTCTAGGAACATTTGGGATTCCCATCCCTGTGACTCTGGGACATTTGGGAATGTCCCATCCCTGTGACTCTAGGAACATTTGGGATTCCCATCCCTGTGACTCTGGGGACATTTGGGATGTCCCACACAGGAGGGCGAGCAGGATCCTGGCTTGGTGTCCCTTTGGATCCACCCCACAGCATTTGGGATTGGCACTCCAAAACCTCCACAGCGGGGCTTTGAGCAGCCCAGCACCGTGGGGGGACCTGGGGCTGCCCGTGTCCCCCCACCCACTGGTGTCCCCTGTGTCCCCAGCTGCTGTGGGTGCTGCTGCTGGCCACCATCATCGGGCTGCTGCTGCAGCGGCTGGCAGCCAGGCTGGGCGTGGTCACCGGGCTGCACCTGGCAGAGGTGTGCCACCGCCAGTACCACAAGGTGGGTGCCAGGGGTGGGGGACACTCCTCAAGGGGCTGGGGTGGCTGGGGGACACTCCCCCAGGTCTTTAGGGGAACTGGGGTGGGTGGGGGACACACAGGTGCTCAGGGTGGGTGGGTGACACTCCCTGGGGTCCTCAGGGGAAGTGGGTGACACCCCCCAGGTGCTCAAGGGGCTGGGGTGGGTGGGTGACACTCCCTGGGGTCCTCAGGAAGGGTGGGTGACACTTCTCCAAGTCCTCAGGGGAGGCTGGGATGGGGGGGGACACTCCCCCAAGTCCTCGGGGTTGGGTGACAATCCCCTAGGTCCTTAGGGGAGGTGAGGTGGGTGGGTGACACTCCCCCATGTGCTCAGGGTGGGTGGGTGACACTCCTTGGGGTCCTCAGAAGGGGTGGGTGACACTTCCCCAGGTCCTCAGGGGAGGCTGGGATGGGGGGTGACACTCCTCCATGTCCTCAGGGGGGTGGGTGACACTCCCCCAGGTCCTCAGGGGGGTGGGTGACACTCCCCAGGTGCTGTGGGGGGGTGGGTGACACTCCCCCAGTCCTCAGGGGGGTGGGTGACACTCCCCAGGGTCTTTGGGTGGGCTGGGGTGGGTGGTGACACTCCTCCCAGTCCTCAGGGGGGTGGGTGACACTCCCCAGGTGCTGTGGGGGGGTGGGTGACACTCCCCCAGCTCCTCAGGGGGGTGGGTGACACTCCCCCAGTCCTCAGGGGTGCCATGGGGGGCTGGGGAGAGTGGTGGGTGACACTCCCTGGGGTCCTCAGGGGGGTGGGTGACACTCCCTGGGGTCCTCAGGGGGGTGGGTGACACTCCCCAGGTGCTGTGGGGGGGTGGGTGACACTCCCCCAGTCCTCAGGGGGGTGGGTGACACTCCCCAGGGTCTTTGGGTGGGCTGGGGTGGGTGGTGACACTCCTCCCAGTCCTCAGGGGGGTGGGTGACACTCCCCAGGGTCTTTGGGTGGGCTGGGGTGGGTGGTGACACTCCTCCCAGTCCTCAGGGGGGTGGGTGACACTCCCTGGGGTCCTCAGGGGGGTGGGTGACACTCCCTGGGGTCCTCAGGGGGGTGGGTGACACTCCCCCAGCTCCTCAGGGGGGTGGGTGACACTCCCCCAGTCCTCAGGGGTGCCATGGGGGGCTGGGGACAGTCCTGGGGGATTGGGGAAGACTGGGGGTGTGGGGGACAGAAGGTGGGTGACCCCCCGGTGTCCCTGGTGGTGCCAGGGGGTCCCTGAGGCCTGGCTGCTCCTGGGGGGGTTTCAGGGTCTCCTGGTGCCCCCCTGGTTTGGGAGGCACAAGGAGGGGCAGGGGGATGTTGGCATTTCCCAGTCAGGAATAAAATGTGGGATTTCAGCTGCCTGCCAGCGCGGGAATGCTGAACGTCCCGAGGAATTGTGAGGAGAGAAATTCCTTTATGCCAAAACCTGGCTTAGGTTTGGGTCATTTCCTGCCTGTTGGGGAATTCCTTGGGTTGGCACGAGGAACATCTGCTGCTGATGAGTGACAGGGGCTGTGGGGACACTGGGGATGTGCCATCCCTGGGGAAAATGGGACTGTGGGGAAAATGTCCTGAACCTGTGGCTGTGGGGAAAATGTCTCATCCCCGTGGCTGTGGGGACATTTGGGAATGTCATATCCCTGTGACTGTGGGGACATTGGGACTCTCCCATCACTGTGACTATGGGGACATTTGGGTTCTCCCATCCCTTTATCTGTGGGGACATTTAGGATGTCCCATCCCTGTGACTCTGGGGACATTTGGGAATGTCATATCCCTGTGACTGTGGGGAAAATGTCACATCCCTGTGGCGGTGGGGACATTGGGGCTCTCCCTGTGACTCTGGGGACATTTGGGATGTCCCTGTGGCTGTGGAGACATTTGGGATGTGCCATCTCTTTATTTGGGGGGATATTTGGGATGTCCCATCCCTGTGACTCTGGGGACATTTGGGATGTCCCTGTGGCTGTTGAGACATTTGGGATGTGCCATCCCTTTATTTGGGGGGATATTTGGGATGTCCCATCCCTGTGACTCTGGGGACATTGGGGATGTGCCATCCCTGTGACTGTGAGACATTTAGGAGCTCCCATCCCTGTGACTCTGGGGACATTTAGGATCTCCCATCCCTTTATCTGTGGGGACTTTTGGGATCTCACATCCCTGTGACTCTGGGGACTTTTGGGATCTCCCATCCCTGTGACTCTGGGGACACTGGGGATGTGCCATCCCTGTGACTCTGGGGACATTTAGGATCTCCCATCCCTGTGACTTTGGGGACTTTTGGGTTGTCCCATCCCCGTGACTCTGGGACATTGGGGATGTCCCTGTGCCTGTAGGGACATTGGGAATGTCCCATCCCTTTATTTGTGGGACGTTGGGATGCCATCCCTGTGTCTGGGGACATTGGGGTGCCATCCCTGTGTCTGGGGACATTGGGGTGCCATCCCTGTGCCCTTGGGCGTTGCCCATCCTGGCTCGGCGTCCCTGCTGTGCCCTGGAATGTGTCCCCACGCTTTGCCCACGGCTGCTGCTCCCACATTCCTGGCTCACAGCTGGCCCTGTGCCCAGGGCAGCAGCTGGGGTGGCACAGGTGCCCTGGCTCCTCCCTGGCACTGCCACAGCAGCTGGGGTGGCACAGGTGCCCTGGCTCCTCCCTGGCACTGCCACAGCAGCTGGGGTGGCACAGGTGCCCTGGCACCTCCCTGGCACTGCCACAGCAGCTGGGCTTTCCCCTCCAGGGCAGCCCTGGGTGCCTCCCACCCCAGGGCAGGGTGCTGACCCCATTCCTGCACGCGGGGTCACCACGGGATGAGATTATGTTTTTTCCTGGTTTTTCCCTGATTTTCCCTGGTGTTTCCTGCTTTTTTCCTGGTTTTTTTCTGGTTTTCCCTGTCTTTTCCCTGCTTTTCCCTAATTTTCTATTTTTTCCCTGCTTTTTCCCTGTTTGGTTTTCCCTGGTTTATTCCTGAGTTCTTTTCCCTGCTTTTCCCTGATTTTCTCCCCATTTTCCCCCCATTTCCCCCCATTTTCCCTGTTTTCCCCCATTCCCCCCATTTTCCCCATTTTTCCTCCGTTTTTCGCTGTTTCACCCCATTTTTTCCCATTTTCCCCCATTTTTCTGTTTCCTCCATTTCCCCCCCGTTTTTCCATTTCCCCCTTTTTCCCCTGTTTTCCCCCATTCTCCCTGTTTTCCCCCTGGTTTTCCCCCCTTTTCCCCCTGTTTTCCCCCTGGTTTTCCCCCATTTTCCCCGTTTTCCCCATTTCCCCCCGTTTTCCCCATTTTTCCTCCATTTTTTTTCCCCATTTTCCCCCATTTTTCTGTTTCCCCTGTTTTTCCCGTTTTTCCCCCATTTCCCCGTTCCCCCCATTTTTCCCCATTTCCCCATTTTCCCCATTTTTCCTTCATTTTTCGCCGTTTCACCCCATTTTTTCCCGTTTTCTCCTGTTTTTCTGTTTCCCCCATTTTCCCCCATTTTTCCCCCGTTTTTCCATTCCCCCTTTTTCCCCTGGTTCTCACGCTGCCACCGTCGCAGGTCCCTCGGATCCTGCTGTGGCTGATGGTGGAGCTGGCCATCATCGGCTCCGACATGCAGGAGGTGATCGGCTCGGCCATCGCCATCAACCTGCTCTCCATGGGCAGGTGAGCCTCGGCAGGGAGCCCCGGAATTCCCAGGAATTCCCAGGAATTCCCCCAAACCAGCCCCAGGGTGTCGGTCACCTGCCTGGTGAGCCCGCGGGGCTGGGCTGGCTTTTGCCTCTGTGTCTTCGGTTTCATTCATTTTACCTTTGATTTCATTTGGTTTATCTTTGATTTGATTTGGTTTACCTTTGTTTGTCCCTTTGATTTCATTCATTTTACCTTTGATTTCATTTGGTTTACCTTTGATTTGATTTGTTTTACCTTTGTTTGTACCTTTGATTTCATTCATTTTACCTTTGATTTCATTTGGTTTATCTTTGATTTGATTTGTTTTACCTTTTTTTGTACCTTTGATTTCATTCATTTTACCTTTGATTTCATTTGTTTTATCGTTGTATCTTTGATTTCATTTGTTTTGTCTTTGTGTTTTTGATTTCATTTGGTTTACCTTTGTTTGTACCTTTGATTTCATTTATTTTACCTTTTATTTGATTTGTTTTACCATTGTATCTTTGATTTCATTTGTTTGTACCTTTGATTTCATTTGTTTTATCTTTGATTTCATTTGTTTTACCTTTGTTTGTATCTTTGATTTCATTTGTTTTGTCTTTGTGTCTTTGATTTCATTTGGTTTACTTTTGTTTATACCTTTGATTTCACTTATTTTACCTTTGATTTCATTTGGTTTACCTTTGTTTATACCTTTGATTTCATTCATTTTATCTTTTATTTGATTTGTTTTACCATTATATCTTTGATTTCATTTGTTTTATCTTTGTGTCTTTGATTTCATTTGTTTGCACCTTTGATTTCATTTGTTTGCACCTTTGATTTCATTTGTTTTACCTTTGTGTCTTTGATTTCATTTGTTTCATCTTTGTGTCTTTGATTTGGTTTGTTTTATCTTTGATTGTACCTTTGATTTCATTTGTTTTATCTTTGTATCTTTGATTTAATTAGTTTTATCTTTGTACCTTTGATTTCATTTGTTTTGCCTTTGATTGTATCTTTGATTTAATTTGTTTTTACCTCTGTCTTTGATTGTGTCTTTGATTTGATTTCTTTTACCTTTGATTGTGCCTTTGATTTCATTTGTTTGTACCTTTGTTTTTACCTTTAATTTGATTTCTTTTACCTTTTTGTTACAAAATCGGGGTGCAGCTTCCTGCCAAGCTGCACATCCCATTCAGGACTCGTGGGAAGGGGGAATGGGGTGTCCCAGGACTCAGGCATTCCTGAGGCAGGACGGTGCTGCAGTGTCTGAAATTGCTGCAAACTCTGAAATCTGCTGCAATATTTTAAATTTGGTGCAGTGTTTTACATTTTTTGCAATGTTTCAAATCTGGTGCAATGTCTTAAATTTACTGTAGTGCCTTAAATTTGCTGCAATGTTTTATATTTGGTGCAATGTTTTACATTTGCTGCAATGTCTTAAATTTGGTGCAATATTTTAAATTTGGTGCAATGTTTTACATTTTTTGCAATGTTTCAAATCTGGTGCAATGTTTCAATCTGGTGCAATGTCTGAAATTTGCTGCAATATTTTAAATCTGGCACAATGATTCAAATTTGCTGCAATATTTTAAATTTGCTGCAATGCCTTAAATTTGCTGCAATATTTTAAATCTGGTGCACTATTTTAAATCTGGCACAATGTTTCAAATCTGGTGCAATATTTTAAATTTGCTGCAATGCCTTAAATTTGCTGCAATATTTTAAATCTGGTGCAATATTTTACAGCTTGATGGACAAGTAGCTCAGCAGTTTGGGCAGCATGTGTCTACCTCATTCTGAATATTTTGTTTTTTTAAGCAGAGTGTTCATCTGTCTCTTCATCACCAACCTCCATTCTCACACTCTTTTCTTTTCCTTCTTCGGGCAAAATATTTTTGTGCAAAATATTAATCCCAAGAACGTCATTAATCCCAGGATATTTTGGGTGGAAAATCAGCACAATTTTCAGTATTTTGTTGCCCCCCTGTGCTGGGCCATCCCTGGGAATCCCTCTGCTCCTGGGAAAGGCTGTGTGGGACTGGCAGGGCTGGGAGGTGACCTCAGGTCCCTGTGGTCCCTTGTCCTGTTCAGGGCCTGAAGGGCCCCCAGCCCTACAGCTCCATCCCAAAAAAGCCCTAAAGGGAAGGGATTTGGGGCTCTGGGTGGGCGCTGACCCCGCTCTCCCCACAGGATCCCGCTCTGGGGGGGAGTGCTCATCACCATCGCCGACACCTTCGTCTTCCTCTTCCTCGACAAATACGGTGAGTTCTGCTGTGGGGCTGGGCTTGGGACTGGGGTCGGGATTGGGTCTGGGGTTGGGACTGGGTTGGGATTGGGGTTGGGATCGGGGTTGGGATTGAAATTCAGATTGGGGTTCAGATTGGGTGTGGGACTGGGATTGGGTCTGGGGTTGGGACTGGGTTGGGATTGGGGTTGGGGTTGGGATTGGGTCTGGGACTGGGACTGGGATTGGGTTTGGGATTGAAATTCGGGGATTGATTGGGTCTGGGACTGGGACTGGGATTGGGTTTGGGATTGAAATTCGGGTTGGGGTTGGGATTGGGTCTGGGATTGGGGTTGGGATTGAATTTGGGATTGGGGCTGGGATTGGGGTTGGGACTGGGGTTGGGATCGGGGTTGGGATTGGGTGTGGGACTGGGATTGGGATTGGGGTTGGGATTGGGGTTGGGATTGAAATTTGGATTGGGGTTGGCATAGGGATTGGTTCTGGGATTGGGATTGGGTCTGGGATTGGGGTTGGGATTTGGTCTGGGATTGGGATTGGGTCAGGGATTGGGGTTGGGATTGGGTCTGGGATTGAAATTGGGTTGGGGTTGGGATTGGGATTGGTGTAGGGTCTGGGATTGGGAATGGGCTCTTCTCAGCTTGGTGACAAAGGGACTTCTCCTCCTTGCAGGCCTGAGGAAGCTTGAGGCGTTTTTTGGGCTCCTCATCACCATCATGGCCCTGACCTTTGGATATGAGGTACCCACCCCAGGAGACCTGAGGGGTCCAGAGCCAGGAGTGGGGCTGGGGAAGGGGCTGCAGCACCAGGAGAGGCTGAGGGAGCTGGGAAAGGGGCTCAGCCTGGAGAAAGGGAGCTCAGGAGGGGCCTTGGCTCTGCACAACAGGAGGGGACAGCCAGGTGGGGTTTGGGCTCTGCTCCCAGGGGATAGGAGGAGACAAAAAGGCATCCAGGGGAGGTTTAGGTTGGAATTTAGAGAAGATTCCTTCACGGAAAAGCTGCTCAGGTGGAGTCCCCACAATTCCCTGACAGGAGGGGGGACAGCCAGGTGGGGTCAGGCTCTGCTCCCAGGTGAGGGGATGAGAGGAAATGTCCTCCTGGGGGAGGCTGAGCTTGGATACTGGGGACAATTCCTGCCTGGAAAGGGCTGTCACACTGGTACAGGCTGCCCAGGGCAGGGAGGGAGTCCCAGTGCCCAGGAATTTAAAAGCCACGTGGCTGTGGCACTTGGGGACACGGGCAGTGCTGAACCCGGTGATCCCAGAGTCTCTTCCTCCTTAAGAACTTTTTCCCATCCTTACCAATTCCACCATTCAGTGCTGTGATCCCACCCCTGTGCCAAAACAGCACCAAACACAGGCAGGGGCATGTAAAATCAAGGAGATTGGAGTCTGCCTCATGGTTTCTCTCTGGAGCACCCCAAAATTCCGTTTCCTTGTTTCCCTGACCCCAAAACTCCCTGTTTCCCTGTCTCTGACCCCAAAAACTCCGTTTCCCTGTCCCTGTGCCCAAAACCCTGTTGCCCTGACCCCAAAACTCCATTTCCCTGTCCCTCAGCCCACAATTCCCTGTCCCTCACCCCAAAACTCACTGTTTCCCTGTCCCTGTGCCCAAAACTCCGTTTCCCTAACCCCAAAACTCCGTTTCTGTGTCCCTCACCCAAAATTCCCTGTTGCTGACCCCAAAACTCCCCGTTTCCCTGTCCCTGTGCCCAAAACTCCGTTTCCCTGACCCCAAAACTCCGTTTCCCTGACCCTCACCCCAAAATTCCCTGTCCCTGACCCCAAAAACTCCCTGTTTCCGTGTCCCTGACCCCAAACTTCCCTGTGCCTGTGCCCAGTACATCACGGTGAAGCCCAACCAGGAGAAGCTGCTGCAGGGCTTGTTCATCCCCTACTGCCAGGACTGTGGCACTCCCCAGCTGGAGCAGGCCGTGGGCATCGTGGGCGCCGTCATCATGCCCCACAACATGTACCTGCACTCTGCCCTGGTCAAGGTGAGCGTGCCGGGGGGACCTGGGCTTGGGACATGTCCCCACAGGAGCCTGGGGACACCTGGAAACAACTCCTGTTGGTTTGGAAAGCCAGGTGTGTGCTGGGGAAGGCAGGAGCCTCCCCTGAAATGGAAAATGTAACCCCCCCTCCCTCTGAATTGTTGTAAATTTGAAATTAAGGGGCTCTCAGGCAGAGATATGGGAATAGGAGTAACTAGGGAAGTTATTCTTTGCTAGGAAGACAGTTTCTTTACTAGGAATAGTGTTCTTTATTAGAGAAAGAAATAATGTTCTTTATAAATTCTTTATTTGTATTTCTTTACTAGAAAACTAAAAAAAAAAAAAAAAAAAAAAAAAAAAAAAAAAAAAAAAAAAAATCATTAATGATCCCATGAACAGAAGATAATTAATCATTAATGATCCCATGAACAGAAGATAATTAATCATTAATGATCCCATGAACAGAAGATAATTAATCATTAATGATCCCATGAACAGAAGATAATTAATCATTAATGATCCCATGAACAGAAGATAATTAATCATTAATGGCCCATTAACAGAAGAGTGCCTCCCTTCTGGAGGGAGGATTGGTTGTGGGAGAGGTAAAGGAACTGCCCAATTAACAGAAGATAACTGCCCTATGAACAGAAGATATCTAGCCCAATTGACAGAAGATAACTGTCCAGTTAGAAGATATCTGCCCTCCTTCCACTGGCTGGCAATAGAGCACACATTTCCAGCCCAGGACAGGGGTGGCACCCAGGGTTGTCCTTGCCAGGCAGGATCCGTGTCCCACCATCAGCTCTGATCCCAGGGGCTCACGGGGAATTCTGTCCCCCCCTCCTGTCCCTGTCCCCCCAGTCCCGGCAGGTGAACCGTGCAGACAAGAGGGAGGTGAGAGAGGCCAACAAGTATTTCTTCATCGAGTCGTGCATCGCGCTCTTCGTCTCCTTCATCATCAACATCTTCGTGGTGACCGTCTTCGCCGAGGCCTTCTTCGACAAGACCAACGCCGACGTGGTGGGTGGCACTGGGATGGACTGGGATGGACTGGGAGCTGTAGTGGCATGGAGGGGTGAGGGCAGTGCCCATCCAGCTGTGCTGGGCGCTGCTGAGGTCAGAGCCTGAACCCTGGGGTTGGTTTTGGGCTCCTTGAGGGGCTGGAACACATCCAGAGCTGGGAGTGGGGATGGGGAAGGGTTTGGGGCATCAGGAGAGGCTGAGGGGGCTCAGAGGGGTCTTCTCACTCCCCAGACCTGCCCAACAGGAGGGGACAGCCACGTGGGGGTCAGGCTCTGCTCTCAGGGGACAGGAGGAGACAAAAAGACATCCAGGGGAGGTTTAGGTTGGAATTTAGGGAAAAATCCTTCATGGAAAAGCTGATCAGGCCAAGGGTGGAGTCCCCACAACGCCCTGACAGGGGAAACAGCCAGGTGGGGGTCAGGCTCTGCTCCCAGGGGAAAGGAGGGGACAAAAAGGCATCCAGGGGAGGTTTTTAGGATTTTAGGGAAAATTCCTTGATGGAAAATGCTCAGGCCAGGGGGAGATCCCCATCCCTTGAGAGGGTGTAACAACTGTGTGGATGTGGCACTTGGGGACGTGGTCACTGGTGGCAGTGCTGAGATCACTGCTGGACCCAGTGGTCCCAGAGGGTTTTCCAAGGGTTTTCCATCCCGAGCCTGTCCCTTATGCCACCCTCCCGTGCCCTTGCAGAGCCAGGTCTGTGCCAACAGCAGCAGCCCCCACTCCTCACTGTTCCCCAACAACAGCGACGCTCTGGAGGTGGACATCTACAAGGGGGTGAGTGTCCCTGGGGGGGACAGCTTGGGGACAGCCCTGTGGCCCTGTCTGGTGTCCCCATGGGGTGACACCATGTCCAGGATGGCTCAGGGACCCTGTCTGGTGTCCCCTGGGGGGCACAGTGACCCTGAATGGTGTCCCCTGGGTGGGGGCAGCCATGTCTGGGGCAGGTGGGGACTGTTGGTGTCCCCTGGGGGGCACAGCCCTGTGGCCCTGTCTGGTGTCCTCTGAGGGGCACAGTGACCCTCTGTGGTATCCCCTGGGGGGCACAGCCATGTCCAGGACAGCCCAGTGACCCTGTCTGGTGTCCCCTGGTGTCCCCAGTGACCCTGTCTGCTGTCCCCAGTGACCCTGTCTGGTGTCCCCCGGGGGGCACAGTGACCCTCTGTGGTATCCCCTGGGGGGCACAGCCATGTCCAGGACAGCCCAGTGACCCTGTCTGGTGTCCCCTGGGGGGCACAGTGACCCTGTCTGCTGTCCCCTGGTGTCCCCAGTGACCCTGTCTGGTGTCCCCTGGGGGGCACAGTGACCCTGTCTGGTGTCCCCTGGTGTCCCCAGTGACCCTGTCTGGTGTCACCTGGTGTCCCCAGTGACCCTGTCTGGTGTCCCCTGGTGTCCCCAGTGACCCTGTCTGGTGTCACTTGCCGCTTCTGGATAAACTGGGAGCGCTGGGGCTGGGAGCACGAACGGGATCCCCAGAAGCCGAGTGGGGGTGAGGAGACCCCAGGGGTCCCTGAGCCCCGAGTTTACTCCTGGGTGTAACTGCCCCCCCGGGCTGACGGAGCTGCCCCCCTGCAGGGCGTGGTCCTGGGCTGCTACTTCGGGCCCGCTGCCCTCTACATCTGGGCCATCGGCATCCTGGCGGCCGGGCAGAGCTCCACCATGACGGGCACCTACTCGGGCCAGTTCGTCATGGAGGTAACGCGCTGCTGTCAGCCCTGCTCGCCCCTTACTCACCCCTTACTCACTCCTTAGGCGGTAACGTGCTGCTGTCACCCCTGCTCGCCCCTTACTCACTCCTTACTCACTCCTTAGGCGGTAACGTGCTGCTGTCACCCCTGCTCACTCCTTACTCACCCCTTACTCACTCCTTACTCACTCCTTAGGCGGTAACACGCTGCTGTCACCCCTGCTCGCCCCTTACTCACTCCTTACTCACTCCTTAGGCGGTAACGTGCTGCTGTCACCCCTGCTCACTCCTTACTCACCCCTTACTCACTCCTTACTCACTCCTTAGGCGGTAACACGCTGCTGTCACCCCTGCTCGCCCCTTACTCACTCCTTACTCACTCCTTAGGCAGTAACACGCTGCTGTGACCCCTGCTCACCCCTTACTCACTCCTTAGGCGGTAACGCACTGCTGTGACCCCTGCTCATCCCTTACCCACTCCTTACTCACTCCTTAGGGGGTAACGTGCTCCTGCTCACCTTTACTCACCCCTTACTCACTCCTTAGGGGGTAACGCGCTGCTCTGACCCCTGCTCACCCCTTACTCACTCCTTACTCCCTCCTCAGAGGTAACACGCTGCTGTCACCCTTACTTACTCCTTACTCCCCCCTTACTCACTCCTTAGGGGGTAACGCGCTCCTGCTCACCCTTACTCACCCCTTACTCACTCTTTACACCCTCCTTAGAGGCAACACGCTCCTCTTCACCCCTTACTCACTCCTTACTCCCACCTTAGGGGGTAACGCATTGCTGCTCACCCTTACTCACCCCTTACTCACTCCTTAGAGGTAACGTGCTCCTCCTCACTCCTTACTCCGGGTTCTGTACTCCTCGCTCCCTGGTGTCCTTATTCCATACTCCATGCTCCTCACTCCTTACTCCCTCCTTACCCCTGCTGCTCTGTGCCCCTACCCAGGGCTTCCTGAACCTGTGCTGGTCCTGTACTACTCACACCTTACTCACTCCTTACTCCTGTCTTCCCCATGTTCCCCCTGTACTGTTCTTGTACTACTCACTCCTTACGCACATTTTACTCACACCTTACTCACACCTTATTCACTCCTTACTCCCGCCCCCAGGGCTTCCTGATCCTGTGCTGGTCCTGTACTTACTTACACCTTACTCACACTTACTTACACCTTACTCACTCACACCATACTCACTCCTTACTCCTTCCCCCCAGGCTTCCTGAGCCTGCGCTGGTCCTGTACTACTCACTCCGTACACCTTACTCAGACTTACACCTTATTCACCCCTTACTCCCTCTTTACTCACACCTTACACCTGCCCCAGGGCTTCCTGAGCCTGCGCTGGTCCTGCACTACTCACTCCATATACCTTACTCACTCCTTACACCTTACTCCCTCTTTACTCCCCCCTTACTCCCCCCTTGCTCTTCCCCAGGGCTTCCTGAACCTGCGCTGGTCGCGCTTTGCCCGGGTGCTGCTGACGCGCTCCATCGCCATCACCCCCACGCTCTTCGTGGCCATCTTCCAGGACGTGGAGCACCTGACGGGCATGAACGACTTCCTCAACGTGCTCATGAGCCTCCAGGTGAGCGGGGTGGGGTTCAGGGGACTCCAGGTGAGCGGGGTGGGGTTCAGGGGACTCCAGGTGAGTGGGGTCAGGGTTCCTGATCCTCCAGGTGAGCGGGGTGGGGATTCAGGAGCCTCCAGGGTTCCAGGGTGGGCTGGGCTGGGTGTTGAGGGAGGTGTCCCTGCCCTGGTGGAGGCTGGGCTGGGCTGAGCTGAGCTGAGCTGGGCTGGGCTGGGCTGGGCTGAGCTGAGTTTTGCTGGGCTGGGCTGAGCTGGGCTGGGCTGGGCTGGGTGTTGGGGTCCCTCCCAGCCAGCCCGGGGTCTCAGCAGGGTCAGAGCCATCCCCCCCGTCCCTGCTGTGTCCCCTCTCAGCTCCCGTTCGCGCTGATCCCGGTGCTCACCTTCACCAGCCTGCCCGGCGTCATGCACGACTTCGCCAACGGCCTGTGAGTACCTGGGCACACCTGGGCATCCCTGGGCACACCTGTCCCACACCTGGGCATGCCTGTCCCACACCTGGGCACACCTGGTGCATCCTCTCACCTGGGCACACCCACCCCTCACCTGAGCCTCTCACCTGGGCGCATCTGGGCAGACCTGCCCTCACCTGGGCACACCCACCCCTCACCAGGTCCAGGTTCATCCCCACACCTGGGCACCCCTGCCTGCACCAGGTGTGTCCTGTCACCTGCAGCCCCCCCTCACTTGCAGCCCCCCTCACCTGGGCACACCTGGGCACCCCTGCCCTCACCAGGTGTCTCCCTTCACCTCCAGCACCTGCCCCTCACCTGGGCACACCTGGGCACCCCTGCCCTCACCAGGTGTAACCTGTCACCTGCTGTCCCCTCACCTGCAGCCCCCTCACCTGCAGCCCCCTCACCAGGCGTGTCCCCTCACCTGCAGCCCCCCTCACCTGCAGCCCCCTGACCTGCAGCCCCCTCACCTTCAGCCCCCTCACCAGGCGTGTCCCTTGCGGCAGGTTCTGGCGGGTGGCCGGGGGTCTCCTGATCCTGCTCATCTGCAGCATCAACATGTACTTCGTGGTGGCCTACGTGATGGCGCTGCACAGCCTGGCGCTCTACGTCGGCGCCGCCCTGCTCAGCGTGCTCTACCTGTCCTTCGTGGCCTACCTGGTGAGTCCCCCTGGCAGCTCTGAGCTCACCCCGGTGGTTTTGGGGTCTCCCCCAGCCCGGCTCTCTGGGTGCCCAGGGCAGAGTTCAGTTAAGCTCGACCTGTCCGGGCCCCTCAGCTTGGCAGGATCAGCTCTAAAGTGAGATCAGCTCTTAGTGATTATCGGCTCATTAGTGATTGTCAGTTCATTAGTGATTATCAGTTCATTAGTGATTTCAGCTCATTTGTGATTGTCAGTTCATTAGTGATTTCAGTTCTTAGTGATTATCAGTTCATTAGTGGTTTCAGCTCATTAGTGATTTCAGCTCGTTAGTGATTATGAGTTCATTAGTGATTTCAGTTCTTAGTGATTTGCAGCTCATTAGTGATTTCAGCTCGTTAGTGATTTCAGCTCATTATTGATTTCAGTTCTTAGTGATTATCAGTTCATTAGTGGTTTCAGCTTGTTAGTGATTATGAGTTCATTAGTGATTTCAGCTCATTAGCGATTTCAGTTCTTAGTGATTATCAGCTCATTCTTGATTTCAACTCTATAGTGATTTCAGTTCATTAGCGATTTGCAGCTGATTAGTGATTTCAGCTCATTAGTTATTATGAGTTCATTAGTGATTTCAGCTCATTAGTGATTTCAGCTCATTCTTGATTTCAACTCTTTAGTGACTATCAGCTCATTAGTAATTACAGCCCATTAGTGATTTTGGCTCTTATTAGTGATTCTCAGCTTTTTAGTTATTTGAGCTATAAGTGATTCTCAGCTCATTAGTGATTTCATCTTGTTAGTGATTATCAGCTCATTAGTGATTATCAGCTCATTAGTGATTTCAGCTGTAAGTGATTATCAGTTTATTAGTGATTATCAGATCATTAGTGATTGCAGCTCTTTAGTGATTTCAGCTCATTTGAAATTCTCAGCTCATTAGTGATTTCAGCTATAAGTGATTCCAGCTCATTAGTGATTTCAGCTATAAGTGATTATCAGCTCATTAGTGATTCCAGCTCATTAGCAGTTCATGTTTGTGTTTATTATTTCTCATCAGTAAAACAGTCTCACTGCTGTGAGTTTGGCAGCTCTTCATTAGAAGGCACAAAATGCCCAACAATCTCTTGGCACAAGGTCTTTTAAGACTAAACTGTCCAGTTAAGAACTACACCTGGATTATGGAATGTCCCCACGAAGGCAGGAATGGTGGATCTGCCTCCATGCTCTCAGAACACTAATTTGCTGAGAAATTTAAGTTTTAGAATTTTTCCTACGTTGTGGATGGAAGCAAAACAGAAGGTGCAGGGTGTTGTCCTGGGTTTCTTCTTCATAAGTTTAGGTGGCTCTTTGTCACTGGGCAGAAAAATCTGCACTGAATCTTCCAGGGATCAGTGATTGGGTTAAAAGGGAAATAATCCAGGTGGAGTAATTAATTGGACAGTTTAGTCTTACAAGAACTTGTGCCAAGAGATTGTTGGGCATTTTGTGCTGCTGAGCTCACAGCAGCGAGGCTGTTTTACTGAAATAATAAACAAAAAGCAATGTAAGAAATAATAATCATTTAAGATTTAATAATTAAATAATAATAATTTAAGAATTAATAATAATTTAATATGTAATAATTTAAGATATAATGATAATTTAAGAAATAATAATAATTTAAGGATTAATAATAATTTATTATGTAATAATTTAAGATATAATGACAATTTAAGAAATAATAATAATTTACGATTTAATAATTAAAGAAATAATAATAATTTAAGAAATAATAACAATTTAAGAAATAATAAACACCTGATCCCAAACATGAACTACCACCTCAAGTGCCTTCAATCCAGACCTAGAGACAACTAATTAAGAAACTAATTAAGAAACTAATTAAGAAACCCCAGAGAACAACTGGACCCCCCAGCGGGTCTGAGACCTGCCCGGCCTTCAGGAATCTTCTCTCCCCTCCTGCTCAGGGGGGCACAGCTCCCTGTGACTCGTTAGGACTGAGCTGCTAATTGTTGCAGCCCTTTGTCGGGGTGCTCCTGGCCGGGCTGTGTGTGCTCAGAGCTGTCACCCCCCTGAGTGTCCCCTGCTGTCCCCACAGACGTGGCTGTGCCTCGTTGCCCTGGGCGCCTCCTTCCTGGCCTGCGGGAGCACGGTAAGCGTCACCCGGACCCTGCACCTGGAGCAGCCGCCCTCCCACCCCCCCAAATAGCCTGGGGGGGGGACCTGGAGCCCCCAGAGCCACCCTGGGGACACGGACGGAGCCGCTCGGGGACGCCCCCGGCAGGACACGGAACACCCGGAGCCTTCGGGGCTGGCCCGGCTCTGCTGAACCCCCAAAACCCCCCTGGGGGGGAGCCACACCTGGGGGGGACAGGAACAGCCTGAGCCCCCCCTGGGGGGGACAGGAACAGCCTGAGCCCCCCCTGGGGGGGACAGGAACAGCCTGAGCCCCCCCTGGGGGGGACAGGAACAGCCTGAGCCCCCCCTGGGGGGGACAGGAACAGCCTGAGCCCCCCCTGGGGGGGACAGGAACAGCCTGAGCCCCCCCTGGGGGGGACAGGAACAGCCTGAGCCCCCCCTGGGGGGGACAGGAACAGCCTGAGCCCCCCCTGGGGGGGACAGGAACAGCCTGAGCCCCCCCTGGGGGGGACAGGAACAGCCTGAGCCACACCTGGTGGGGACACAGGAGCAGCCTGAGCCCTCCTGGATGGGTGCCACACCTTGAGGGGGGACACAGGAGCAGGCTGTCCCCCCTGGATGGGTTCCACACCTGGGGTGACACAGGAGCAGCCTGTCCTCTCTGGGGTGACACAGGAGCAGCCTGTCCCCTCTGGATGGGTTCCACACCTGGGGTGACACAGGAGCAGCCTGTCCTCTCTGGGGTGACACAGGAGCAGCCTGTCCCCTCTGGGGCGACACAGGAGCAGGCTGACCCCCCTGGGGTGACACAGGAGCAGCCTGTCCCCCCTGGATGGGTTCCACACCTGGGGGGATGCAGGAGCAGCCTGAGCCCTCCCCCATTCTCCTTCAAATCCCAAATTCCTCATCCCAGAGCCTTTGACCCCCCCCTGTAGCACAAACACTGACCTCCAGGAACGCTGCTCTGGCACTGACCTGGACTAAATAAGCTAAAAAAATCCCTAAATCCCCTTTTGGGTGGCATTTGGGGACGCTGCTGTCACTGGGCATGGGGTGACACTACAGCTGGCTCTGCCCCAGCCTGAGCAGATCTGGTATTTCCCACTGGAAAACACTTCCCATGAGCATGGGAAAGCTGAGCATTAATATTATTTTATTCTATTATCACTACTGGCTTTTAGTGGCCCCATGTGGGATCTTGGGGTCAGCAAATGAAACGAGTTCGTGGTTATTTATGATTTTATGACTTGATTCCCTGTGATCCATGGAAATACTCTTGGAGTTCTCCAAAATAACTCAAAATCAGGCTGTGGAGGCTCCAAGGGCTTTTTCCAGGGGTTTCTTTGCTGCTCCCTCTTGTCCTGGATTAAATTCCCTCCTCTCATCCTCCTGTGTTTAATGAGTTTGGGAAGAAGCTTGGCCAGGAGTGTGACCTGAGTGCAGGAGTGGGGTGGGATGGGGGGCACAGAGCCCCCCTTGGATCTCCCAGGGCAGTTTTGGGGCCCCATCCTGCCTCTTGGGTCTCTGAATCATGGAAACTGGGCGTGGGGAGCTCAGATTTGGGTTATTTCGGGGAAATTCCCTTCTCTGTCCAGCTGGAGCTGCAGCAGAGGCACAGCTCCGGGGGTTTAGATCCCAAAGTGCTTCTTGGAGCTGCAGGATGGGGCCCCAAACCTGCCCTGGGGCCAAGCCCGAGGGTTCCAGCCCAGCCCTGCTTTATTTGGGATGCCTGGATCCATCCTAGTCTGGTTTATTTGGGATTCCTGGCTCCATCCCCAGGTTTATTTGGGATAATAAAATGAGTCCATCCCAGCCCTCGTTTATTTGGGATGCCTGGCTCCATCCCAGTCCTGGTTTGTTTGGGATTCCTGAGTCCATCCCAGGTTTATTTGGGATAATAAAATGAGTCCATCCCAGCCCTGTTTAATTTGGGATGCCTGGCTCCATCCTAGTCTGGTTTATTTGGGATTCCTGGCTCCATCCCCAGGTTTATTTGGGATGCCTGGGTCTATCCCAGGTTTATTTGGGGTAATAAAATGAGTCCATCCCATCCCTGCTTTATTTGAGATGCCTGGCTCCATCCCAATCCTGGTTTATTTGGGATTTCTGGCTCCATCCCAGCCCTGTTTAATTTGGGATTCCTGGCTCCATCCCAGGTTTTATCTGGGATAATAAAATGGGTTTTTCCCTCAGTGCCCACTGGCATTTCCCTGCTCTCCCAGCTCCAGGCAGGGAATTTCTCTCTGAAATAAAATCCCTGCAGAATCCAGCCCTGGGGAATGTTTGGGATCTGCCCAGGAGCATTTCTTCCCTTCCAAGAGCAATCCCAGTGTCCTGTCCCAGGACTGGAGCCCCTGTGGGGTTTATCCACCCCCCAGGCCTGGGGTCACTCCCTGGTGCCCCGGACACCTTCCAGGGATGGAGGTGACAACACTCAGGGAGAGCCCAGCAGGAAAACTCCCCTTTAATGGGCAGGATCAGATCCCTCTTCCCAAACCTGACCACGAGGATTCTCCTTTTTCCCCGCTGGTATCCCAAATTCCAGCAGGATTTAACCCCGTAGTGTCACATCTGCAGGTTTTACACCCATCCCCAGAGCACAGCTGCGGGGTTTGTGGGCTGCACCAGAGGATTTGGGCTTTGGAATTCTGCTCTACCCCCACCCTGGGCTGGGAATTTCGTTTTGGGAGGGGTCAGCTCTCCTGGCTGAGCACTGACTGCGTGTGGAGCCTCCCATTGCTCCGTGCTGCACTAATCTGGTTTTTTTTTCCCCCTTTGGTCCTGGTTGTACAAACCCCCTTTGCCATTAAAAACATAAATGGAGACTTTTCCAACTCGGCTTCCTGGGTCATTTTTTGGGGCTGGTGCTGGCTGGGACAGAGCCCCCCACGCTCTGCAGCTGGAGCTGGAATTGGGCAGAAAAATCCCTTTTTCCCAACCTGGGAATGAAACTCGAGGTCGTTTTAGTTCAGAATTCAAATAAAAGTGGATTTTACTTCAAGGCTTTCGGGGCAGTTAGGGAAAAATGGGCCACAAAACCCCACCCCCACAGGGGTGAGGAGGTTTTTATAGGTTTTAGGAAATTACATAATTAATAAAAGTGCAATTAGAGGTGGTGAGGGAATTCTCTCCCCTTCTCTGCAGTCCCAGCTCAGCTCTGGCTGAGCTCTGCCCATGAAATCCCCAGGAGTTGTTCCTGGGCCTTGGAGCTCTGGAATTCCTGTCTTTCTGCCCAGGAAAAGGTCGTGGAAAAACACTGGGGAAAAACAGGTTATGAACACAACAGGCCAATAATGCAGAGCCACAAACGCACCTGCAGAGAACACAGGGAACATAAAAAATATTTTAAAAAAGGGAAAACTCAGGACGGCTCAGGCTGAGCTGGGCACGTCCCTGTCCCCTGGAATTGGCTCCCAGCCCCCCCTTCCCATGGGAATTCCTTCTGTGGGATCGGGTACAGGGAACATAAAAAATATTTAAAAAAAGGGAAAACTCAGGACGGCTGAGCTGGGCACGTCCCTGTCCCCTGGAATTGGCTCCCAGCCCCCCCTTCCCATGGGAATTCCTTCTGTGGGATCGGGCTCGGCCCCTTCACCCCGCCCTGCCCAGGCCGGACCCACCAAAAATCCCCAAATTCCCTTTTTTTTTCCTGCTTTTGCCTCTTTTTTCCTGCTTTTCCCCCTGCGGAGCCTCGCCTCCGGCTCAGTCCCGTTTAGCTTTCCTGAGCAGACACTGCTAATTAAGGCTCATCCACGCCCCGAAGTTAATTAAGCTGGCGCGGTTAATTGCAGAGGGAGGGTCCCCGGGCGGGGCTGGGCCGAGATCTGCCCCAATTAACGGCGGGATCCGCTCCCAATTAGCGCCGTTCCTTCTGCTCAGCGCTAATTAATGGGCGCAGGTGACTGGGGCCGCCTCGGAGCCCGCCCGGGCTTGGTTAAACCGGGCCTAAGTGGGGCTGCCTTAAACCGGGATCAGCTCTGGTTTCATTTGCAGCCTGCCCTGCTCAGGCTCATTAAACTGGGCTCAACATCGGCCTCATTAAACCAGGCTTAATTCGGGCTTTGTTAAACCGTCCTCAAGTTGAGCTTCATCTCAACTTGGGCTTCGTTAAACCAGGCTCAATTCCAGCTTCATTAAACCCATCTCAAGTTGGGCTTTGTTAAACCAGGCTCAATTCCAGCTTCATTAAACCCGTCTCAAGTTGGGTTTTGTTAAACCAGGCTCAATTCGAGCTTCATTAACCCATCTCAAGTTTGGCTTCGTTAAACCAGGCTCAATTCGAGCTTCATTAAACCCATCTCAACTTGGGCTTTGTTAAACCAGACTCAGTTCGGGCTTCACTCAGTTGTGGCTTCGTTAAACCGGGCTGAGCTCAGGCTTCCTTAAACCACCTTGTGCTTCCTCAAGCTCTCTTTGGCTCAGGCTTCCTTAATCCAGGCTTAATTAAATGCCCCGGCACTAATTGTTGCCTTCATCCCCCAGGGCCGCCTGGGCTTCGCCGCCCGCCCCGAGCTCTTCCTCCTCGGCCACGTCGATTCCGACCCGTCCGTGCCCAGGTGACCCCAGCGCCGGGACCTGCGGACCCCCGGGACCCCCGGGAACCCCCGGGACCCCCGGTGTGGAGGGGCGGACCCCCGACCCGGGAAGCCGGGCCAGCCTTGGGGACAGCCGGGACAGCCCTGGGGACACCCGTGCCACCCCTGGGGCCAGCCTTGGGGACATTTTCCACTCCGGACTTTGCTCCTTGGGGTTTTCCCTAATTCTGGAATGTTCCAGTTGGGATTTCCCAGATTTTCACTCAGGTCACTCCAGCAGGACTTTGCTGTTTGGGGTTTTCCCTAAATTGGGAATGTTCCAGTTGGGAATTCCTGATAAAAGCCAGGTTTAATTCCCAACAAAAGCCAGGTTTAATTCCCAACAAAAGCCAGGTTTAATTCCCGATAAAAGCCAGGTTTCATTCCTGATAAAGGCCAGGTTTAATTCCCGATAAAAGCCAGGTTTCATTCCTGATAAAGGCCAGGTTTAATTCCCGATAAAAGCCAGGTTTAATTCCCGATAAAAGCCAGGTTTGCTGCCAGGCTCTGGCCGTGGGCCAGGCTTTGGGAACAGAGGCGTTCCCAGCATTCCCAGCAGTTCTGGGGTTTCCCAGAACCCCAAAATCGCCCCTCAGAGGGGTCCCGGGGCAGCAGCTCCCGACAAACGCAGCGGAATTTCCGCCGGGAATTTCCTTCTCTGCGGCTTTCTGATTTTGAAATAAAAAAAATAAATAAAAATTGTTTTAGAAATAAAACTTTGGCTGCCCAGGAATTTCCCCTTTTCCCAGGAATTCCATGGATTCCCAGTTCCCATCCCCCACACACTGGGGCCAGCTCCAGGGAGGGGCCGGATCCGTTTGGGGTTCACTGGGATGGATTTGGGGGGACCCAAAGTGGCCCCATTTGGGAGGGGGGGGTCACGGTACTGGGGGGGTTGTTAGGGTACTGGGGGGTTTGGGGTGGCAGCACTGAGGGGTTTGGGGTCACAGCACAACGGGATTTGGGGTGGCCCCACTGGGGGATTCGGGGGGCAGCACTGGGGGATTTGGGGTGGCGGTACTGGAGGGTTTGGGATCGTGGCATAGGGGGGTTTGGGGTGGCAGCACTGGAGGGTTTGGGGTGGGGGGTCTGGAGGATTCGGGGTCGCCCAGCACTCCCAGTCCAGTCTCAGTCCCCTCCCAGTCTGGTCCCAGTCCGCCCCCAATCCAGTCCCAGTTTGTTCCCAGTCCACTCCCAGTCCAGTTTTGTCCAGTTCCAGTGCCCCCAGTCCAGTCCCAGTTTGTTCCCAGTCCCTCCCAGTTCAATCCCAGTCCACTCCCAGTCCAGTTTTGTCCAGTTCCAGTCCAGTCCCAGTCTGGTCCCAGTCCAATCCTGTCCAGTTCCAGTCCCCTCCCAGCCCAGCACTCCCAGTCCGCCCCCAGACCCCTCCAAGTCCCTCCCAGTCCACCCCCAGACCCCTCCCAGTCCCTCCCGCCCCCGCGGCCAATTCCCAGTTTGTTTGTCCCAGTTTGTCCCAGTTTGTCCCAGTTACCCCCGGAACTGGCGCTGGCAGTTTCGTTCCGTAATTGAAAAGCAATTAAAAACGCCCCCAAACTGGGCAGCGGGTGCCGGGGGATTCCTCTGCATTCATACGGATTTTCCTTTAAAATAACCCCAAAACCCAAGAAAAAAAAATCCTATGTGGAAAACTGAGGGAAAACGGGAGGAATCTGGGTGAAGAAAGAGGAAATTGGGGTGAAAGACGAGGAGTTTTGGGGTGAAATTGGCGGGATTTATTGGGGGGAAAGTAGGAATTTTGGGGAAACCAAAGGGATTTGTGTGGAGCGGGTGGGACTTGAGGTGAGTCAGGATGGAAAAAAGAAGGAAATGAGGTGAGAGTTAGGAATTTGAGGAGAATTAGGTGGAAATGTGATAAAAAAGAAGGAATTGGGGGTGGAAACAGGAGGAATTGGGGTTAGGGTATGAAATTTGAGGTGAATTAGGGGGAAATGTAAGGAAAAAAAGAATTGGGGTTAGGGTTGGGAATTTGAGGTGAATTAGGTGGAAATGCAATAAAAAAGGAATTTGGGTTAAGGATTTGAAGTGAATTAGGTGGAAATGGGATGAAAAAGAAGGAATTGTGGGTGGAAACGTGAAAAATTTGCATTAGGGTGGGGAATTTGAGGTGAATTAGGAGGAAATGGGAAGAAAAACAAGGAATTGGGGGTGGAAACAGGAGAAATTTGGGTGAGGGTTGGGAATTTGAGGTGAATTAGGTGAAAATGAGATAAAGAAGAAGGAATTTGGGGCCGAAATGGGAGGAATTTGGGGTTCCCGCTCACAAATCCGGGCGAAAGGGATTCTTTTTCTAATTGAACATAATTAATTTCACGATGTTTAGCGCAGAAAAGCGCCTGAAGGAAACCCCGCCCAAGCCCCGCCCCTTAACCACACATGGGCGTGGCTTAGCAAAACCCCGCCCACTACAGTGCGAGGGGCGTGGCCTCGGCCGCCCCGCGCGAGGTAAACACAGCCGCGGCCCCGCCCCCTCCCCGCCCATCCAATCCGCGCCCTCCGCCCGTTTCAAGGCTCCCCCTCAGCCCCGCCCCCTCAGACCTCCATCCATCCATCCATCATCCATCCATCCATCCATCCATCATCCATCCATCCATCCATCCATCCATCCATCCATTATCCATCCATTATCCATCCATCCATCCACCCATCCATCCATCCATCCATCCATCCATCCATCCAT